AATTTTGTAGTTTTTTTATTTTCTTGTCAAGACGTGTGTATTAACACACACACAAGAAAATGTTATATTTTTGAGTTTTTTAATTTTTTTGCCAAGATGTGTGTATTAACACACACAAAAGAAAATATTAAATTTTTGAGTTTTTTTTTATTTTTTTGCCAAGATGTGTGTATACACACAAGAAAATGTGAAATTTTCAAGTTTTTCTAATTTTCTTGACAAGACGTGTGTATTAACACACACAAGAAAATGTGAAATTTTTGAGTCTTTTTTATTTTTCTTATCAAAATATGTGTACTAACACACACACACAAAATATGTAAAATTTTCGAGTTTTTTAATTTTCTTGTCAAGATGTGTTTATTAACACACACATAAGAATATGATAATTTTTTAATTTTTTTAAAAATTTTCTTGTCAAGATGTGTGTATTAACACACACACAAGAAAATATTAAAATTTCGAGTTTCTTACGGGGAACTTATCCTTTTTAAGTTTACATGAGTAATTTTATTATTTTCTTGTCAAGATGTGTGTATTAACACACACATAAGTAAATGTTAAGTTTCCGAGTTTTTAAATTTTTATTGTCAAAATATGTGTATTACCAAACATAAAAATGTTTATTTTACAAGTTTTTTTAAATATTTATTGCCAAGATTGTGTTTTAACCCATACACAAGAAATGTTAAATGTATGAGTTTTCATTATTTTCTTGTCAAGATATGTGTACTAACAAACACACACCCACAAAATGTTAAATTTTGAGGGTTTTTAATTGCCAAGATGTGTGTATTAACACACACAAAAGAAAATATTAATTTTTTTTAGTTTTTTTAAATTTTTTTTGTCAAGATGTGTCCATTTAACACACACACACACACACACACACACAAGAAAATGTTAAATTATTAATTTTTTTTTTAATTTTCTTGCCAAGATGTGTGTATTAACAAGCACACAAGAAAATATTGAATTTTTGAGTTTCTTTCTGGAAATTCTTAAGTTTTCAGGACTAATTTTTTTATTTTCTTGTCAATATTTGTGTATTATTAACACACTCACGAGAAAACGTTATGTTTCCGAGTTTTTAAATTTTCTTGTCCCGATATGCGTATTAACACACACAAAATATGTTAAATTTGCGAGTTTTTTAATTTTTCTTACCAAGTTGTGTGTATTAACACACACACAAGAAAATATTTATATTTTTGATTTTTCTTAATTTTTTGTGATGGTATGTGTATTAACACACACGCACAAAAGTTAAATTTTTGAGTTTTTAAATTTTTTTGCAAAGATGTATATATTGACACATGCATAAGTAAATGTTAATTTTTTTGCGTTTTCTTAATTTTTTTGTCAAGATATGTGTATTAACATACACACAAAAAAATGTAAAATTTTCGAGTTTTTGAAATTTTCTTGTCAAGATTTGTGTATTAAGACACACACACACACACAAATTTTAGATTTTGGATTTTTTTTTTCTTCCCAAGATGTGTGTATTAACACAAACACAAGAAAATATTTTTTCCCTAATTTTCTTGTCAAGACATGTGTATTAACACTTACACAAAAAATGTTAAATTTTTGAGTTTTTTATATTTCTTTACAAGATGTGTGTATTAATACATACGCACAAGAAATGGTTATAATACACACATACGCACAAGAAATGGTTAGGTTTTTTAGTTTTATTTTAATACACAAACTCGAAAATGTTAAATTTTTGAGTTTTTTAATTATCTTGCGAAGATGTGAGTATTAACATACACACAACAAAATGTTACATTTTTGAGTTTTTTTTTTAATTTTCTTGCCAAGATGTGTGTATTAACAAACACACAAAAATATTAAATTTTCGAGTTTCTTTCTGTGAAAATTTTCCTTCTTAGCTATGCAGGACTAATTTGTTTATTTTCTTGGTAAGATGTCAGAATTAACACACACACAAGAAAATGTTAAATTTTCGATTTTTTTAATTTTTAATTTTTGTTGTCAAGATATGTTTATTAACACACACAAAAATTGTTAAATTTGCGAGTTTTTTAATTTCTCTTGACAAGATGTCTGTATTACCACACACAAGAAAATGGTATATTTTGGAATTTTTTTAATTTATTTTTTCAAGATATGTGTATTAACACATACACACACAAGTAAATGTTAAATTTTCGAGATTTTTAATTTTCTTTCCAATATGTGTGTATTAATAAAAACAGAAGAAATTCTTAAATTTATGAGTTTTTCGTAATTTTCTTGTCAAGATATGTGTACTAACACACACAGAGGAAAATGTTAGATTTTTGAGTTTTTTTTTTTAATTTTCTTGTCAAGATGTGTGTATTAACAAACATACAAGAAAATTTTAAAATTTCGAATTTTTTAATTTCTTGCCAAGATATATGTATTAACACACACACAAGAAACTGTTACATTTACAAATTTTTCCTTCCAAGTTTGCATGACTAATTTTTTTTCTTTTCTTCTCAAGATGTATGTATTAACACACACACAAGAAAATGTTAATTTTCTGAATTTTTAAATTTTCTTGTTAAGAATACAAAAAATAATGTTAAATTTGTGAGTTTTTTATTTTTCTTATCAAGATGTGTGTATTAACACACGCAAAAATGTTAAATTTTCGAATTTTTTTGTTAAGATGTGTGTATTAACACACATAAATTTTTTAATTTTCTTGCAAAGATGTGTGTATTAACACATACAAGAAAATGTGTGAATTTTAATACACACATATTTAAAAGAAAATAAAAAATTAGTCATGCGGACTTAAGAAGGAAAAATTCCTCGAAAGAAACTTAAAAAAATTTAACATTTTCTTGTGTGTGTTAATACACACATCTTGGCAAGAAAATTAAAAAAAACTTAAAAATTTAACATTTTTGTGTGTGTTAGTACACATATCTTGATAAGAAAATTAAAAGAAACTCAAAAATTTAACATTTTATTGTGTGTGTTAATACACACATCTTGGCAAGAAAATTAAAAAACTCGAAATTTAACATTTTCTTGTGTATGTGTTAATACACACATCTTGGCAAGAAAATTAAAAAACTCGAAAACTTAACATTTTGTGTGTGTGTTAGTACACATATCTTGACCAAAAAACTAAAATAAACTCAAAATTTAACATTTTCTTGTGTGTGTTAATACACACATATTGGCAAGAAAATTAAAAAAAACTTAAAAATTTATCATTTTTCTTGTGTGTGTTAATACACACATCCTCGCAAGAAAATTAAAAAAACTCAAAAATTTAATATTTTCTTATGTGTGGTACACACATATTGGCAAAAAATTTAAAAAACTCGAAAATTTAACATTTTTTGTGTGCGTGATAGTAGACATATATTCACAAGAAAATTAAAAAAAAAGTCAAAAATTTAATATTTTCTTGTGTGTGTTAATACACACATCTTGACAAGAAAATTAAAAAACTCGAAAATTTAACATTTTGTGAGTGTGTGATAGTATGTATATTAACAAGAAAAAAAAACTCAAAAATTTAACATTTTCTTGTGTTTGTGTTAATACAAAATTTAGTATTTTTTGTGTGTGTGTTAATACACATATCTTGAGAAAAAAATTAAAATAAACTCAAAAATTTAATATTTTATTGTGTGTGTTGTTAATACACACATCTTGGCAAAAAAATTAAAAAACTCGAAAATCTAACATTTTTTGGGTGTGTGATAGTACACATATCTTGACAAAAAATTAAAAAACAAAACTCAAAAATTTAACATTTTCGTGTGTGTGTGTTAATATACATTTCTTGACAACTAAATTAAAAAAAAAACTCAAAAATTTAATATTTTCTTGTTGTGTGTTTGATAATACACACATCTTGACAAGAAAATAAAAAAATTAGTCCTCCAAACTTAAGAAGGAAAAATTCACAGAAAGAAACTAGAAAATTTAACATTTTCTTGTGTGTGTTTTAATACACACATCTTAGTAAGAATATTAAAAAACTTCCAAATTTAATATTTTTGTGTGTGACACTTCAAAAATAATTTTACACTTAAAATTTAACAAGTCATAAAATTTGATTCTATACATAGCTACTACTTATATCTGAACCAACATTAATAACACATGGGTAACATATTCTAAATTTTTATTTAAATAATAAAGTATGACATACTTATGAATCAAACACAAATTAGTATATAGAGCTAACATATTCAAATGAAGCATGCAGAAAGCACACAAAAGATAAATATAGTGAAAAATAATGCAAAGACTCCACACCGTCAATCCTAGAAGTTTTAATATTAAAATTGTTAAATATTAGACTGCAAAAAAAAGTATATAAATAATAAAAAGAATAAAAATATAAGTTAAAATTCGTGGTAGACCTGAAGTAGAAGCAAGAAACGTTTTTGCATGATCATTGCAGCTTTCTAACAAAACTAATTGCGAATCAATATGAATCATGAATTATACATGCATAGGTACACAACATCAATGAGACATTCAATTAAAAAACTTAATTTTTGAACATGTAAACCTTAAATAAAAAAGAACTCTAGAAATCATTTGGAAAATAAAACAAAATATCAAGATCTTAGCAAAAAAAATATTTCTCTAAATCAAATGTATGTGTACGTCAAAGTTAGATAATTCGATAGATGTCATTGTTATTATTTTACTTAATAAGATTAAAAATTTATAAATAAAAATAGGAGAAAACTGTAAATTTTATTTTAAATTCTATTATAAAAAATAAATTTCTGTAAATCGAATATAGTTTTGATAATTTAAAAAATAGTAGAAAAAAAAATTAAACAAATTGATAAAAAAAAAATAAAAATTAAACAAAACTATTAATACAGACTCGCATGTAGCGCGAGTTATAAACTTAGTGTTATAGAAAATTTACAATAAAAAGTTTCGAAGATGGACTAACGGTGTGGTTTGCCACTCGTTGAGGGATCATTTTTTTTTTCTTTAAAATTTAAGTTCTAAACAACTTCAAAATGCAATGGGTTTTATTGTAAAAAATATTCTTTTGGATCAATAAATTTTACATTCTTCAAAAGAATAAAATAATATACAATAAGCTCCTAAAAACCCCCAAGATATGAGAATCCGTCTTATAAGTTTCCAGACTATATATAAAATCGTGTTCAATGCTACTGTCGCTGCTATATCCAACTACATAGCATCTCATTATCTCGCTTGTTGGTCAACCCCAAGCTTCCGTTTCGGGAGCTTTGAGGATGATCATAGGGAAGACTGATTCTTAGTTCCAGGTTCAACTCTGGAATCATTTCCTCAACTACTGGACACTCGCCTTTCTCCTCGTTCAACGTAAAAAACGTCTCAACTGAATTTTTCCTTAGAAAAGCGAAACTTTCTTTTGGAGAAGAAGTGAAGGAGATATCGAAGGTGCTAGTGGTTGGGTCTAAGTGGGGCTTAGAATGTTGAGAAACTGATTCTTGGAGCATGAGTAGTGGTCTATGAGTGGTGGGATCGATTCCTCTTTTTATAAGTTTTCTTCTTATGTGAGTGTTCCAATAATTCTTGATCTCGTTATCAGTTCTTCCCGGCAATCTCCCAGCTATTACCGACCATCTGTTCAAATTAATGATACATTATAATGAATATTTCGTGTTGCCTCCTTGAGTTGTGTCTTAGAGAAAGAGAGGAAGAGTAACATATTGCTTACTTGTTGCCAAGAAGGCTATGAAAGTGGATGATGAGGTGGTCTTCTTCCTCGGTGAAGCTGCCTCGTTTGAGGTCAGGTCGGAGGTAGTTGATCCACCGGAGACGGCAGCTTTTGCCGCAACGGAGAAGTCCGGCGGCCTTAGGAAGGGATCTCCAGCAGCCTTCACCATGAGTATTGATGTAAGCTTTGAGCCTTTCGTCTTCTTCTTTCGTCCATGCTCCTTTGTTCGTGTGAGCCTTCTCACAACATGGTGACCTTCCCATCTTTTCTTAATTGATCAATGATGAACCTTCAAAGCCTCGCCTGGTACGCATATATTTATATATATAGTTTTGACCTAATTAATTAAAGCAAGATATATCAATGTATTATACGTAATTGCTTCTAGATGATAGATATGATAGGTAGGTAGATATAGAGATACAGAGTGTTGAGATTGTTAGTGTTTCTAGATGTGAGTTGGTGGGAATTGGATATCTATGATGAAAGAGTGTGTTTGGTGGCTTCTTTCTTTTTTTGGACAATAAGTTACAAATCTTTTTATGTCATTTATGCTTTTATTTGTCTTCTATTCTATTAGTGATTCACCGAAGAAAATTAAACCATAAACAAATAAAGAGGTAAGTAGACGTATGCTAATTAATCACTGGTGCCTAGTACGTATGTAGCAAAACACCTTCAAATCTAAATTCACTTTACTATTTCTCCTTTTCTAATTGACAAGTTGCGAATACGATTCATTTTGGTTGATTTCTCTCTCTTTCTCTCTCATAAACATATACACACACATAATACTAGTTCCTAACTATATATTGTTTCTTCACAAATGATTCTTTCTATGTAGATATTATTTAACAATAGGTGGTAGCAATAATCTTTATTTGGTCCATTGGTTGTTAGGATATACTTTATGGGTCTAGGACAAAGCTCAAGTTTTCTCATGCAAAAATTCGATTTTGTGGGTTTAGTATAAGTCTTCTGTATGAGATATCCGCGGTAAAAAACTTCTTTGGAAAGTTAATTGAAATGTGGGGGTTGGTGTAAAGTTGAATGAATGATTTTGGGAGATTGTGTTAGCAGGTCAACGAAAAGCTGTGAGATTTCGATCTAATGGACTGATGATTATTTGTAGTGAAACCCTAGCTAATAGTAATAGACTAACTTATAACATTTGCCAAAACAACAACCACTTCGTGTCTATAAGAATTAAATAATATATATATATGTATATAGGTCATATAGTGGTAATTAACTTTTGTAAGTGCTACAACAAGAATTACCTAAATCAAACAATCATAGATGAGTATTACAGATTGTTTTTATAAAAAATTGTCTTCTAGAAACCTTGACTTAGTGGTGTTATTATATTAATCTCTAACCAAGTTTTCATATGATTATCTTTAGTCTAGAGACTTAAAAGGCAAGACTTTACTATAAGATTATTTGTTAGATGGTGGAAGCTCTATATAATAACACCAACCGACGATTGATTGTCTTTTGTTTATATTGTGACATAGGACATGTTAGGTTTACAATTTTTGACGATTCAACGTGTTTACTAGACAATCATGTAAATGTAATTCCAAACATGCAATACATGTAGTCCAAGTAATGCATGTCATAAGTTGTTTGCATTCGATGCCTGTGAATATTTTATACTCTATAATCCAACCAATATAACTCAATATGTGAAGAGCGACTAAAAATGCGAGTCACAACAAACACATTTATAATAACATTTGATTTTTTTTTTTCACGAGACAATTGGTTGTAGTTTGTTTGCTCCGCGGATAGGCAAATATTTTTTTGTTTTGCTTTTGAAAATACCTACTTAATTCCGTTGAAATTGTATGAATTTGTTTTTATCGATGAAACATTTTACACAGAAAGTATAAAGTCTGAAAGTTATTCGCGTGGGGCATAATTGAAAAGAAAAATTGGGAAAGAGTGGTTCATATGGAAAATAGGAGAGAACAAAAAGAAAATGGGAGCTGTTGCATTTCTTTATTTATTTATTATATTCAATTGGTGCACAATCATTACCATCATCCCAATTTGGCTTCTTAAAGCTTTGCTTAAAAGACTTCTCAATCTTGGAACATATAAAATGAATCACTACACTTGATTGATGATGCCGACACAACTTGTATTAGAATTATTTAGTCACTGTATTGATCTGCTCATAAAAATGAAAGAAACAGTAGTTAATTTAATGAAAGAAACAGTAGCTAATTTAATTTGTGTTTTGTTTTTTGTTGTTGTAGTGTATATGACATTGATTAACACTAATACAAACTCATCCAAAAAATTGTATCGAAATGAAGGGGTTGAATGGTATGTAGTTTTTTCACGTTTTGCAAACGTGATTCTACTAAATACATATCATTTACAACATTAAGTACTTAATGATAAAAAGTAAAAATTAACACGTTATTTTTTAAATCATTCATACATTTTAAATTTATAACTAGTTAAAAAAAAATATTCATCTGATAGATACTGGGTCTGACTGGTAACTTAGATGAATAACAGAATAGCGGAATAACTGAAAAATTGTTAGCAGAACGAACTGAGCTGAATAATATTTTGGCTGAATAATTGTGAAACGCTGAAAAACTACTTTTAAGTAGCTAACCACGTTTTATTTTTTCTAGTTATATTTTTAACACGTTAACGAAATCACGTTTTAAAAATATGGAAAAAAATGTGAAAACGTAAAAATATGGTAACATGAATGGTAAAAAATTACAGAATCAAGTTTCCAAAACGTGAAAACGTGAAAAAACTACATACCATTTAAACCCACTAGCTTTTTAGCGTTTTGAGTTTATTCAGTTTTCTGTTTATCCATTTTATTGATTCAACTAGTTTATTATTCAACTATTCTGCTATTAAGTTAACATATCAGTCAAACCAAAAAAAATAGACGTGCATGGACGTTCACGTAGCGATATACGTAAACATTGGTTGATAAAAATATTATGACACACAAAAGTACAAAACCATACGAAACCATTCGAGCCTCGACTCTTTTTACTTAGATAGTAAGAACGCTTATTGTTATCGTTTCGTGAATTATGTTGTAATTTGTTCAATAACGGACGTACCAATTGGATATTTGAGAATCGAGATTACGTGGATCGAGACAGTAATTTGCAATGATAAAAATAATTAACATTACTAATTTGTCATTTTCTCGACCAGCCGATGAAAAAAATGTCCAAAGGAAAGAGTGATTAACTGATTATTACTTGGTCGTGATGTTGTAGATGCTGACGTTGGATTTTTCCAACAAAAGAACAATCAAAATATAAATTGGTAGCAAATATTATGTTTTCTTCTGTTGATGTTTCTTTACAAAAGCTTAGTAGTCTGTGTAATGGATTGTCTTCTTTGTAACGATATTTTGAAGGTTTAATATATAAATCGGTTTGGGGCAGAAACAAAGAAGAGTCGCACTACCAAATAGCAGAGAAGATAAAAGTCGACGAAGACACAAACATCCAAATTATAAAAAAAGGGGACTTTGCAAATCTGATGTTGGTTTTTAGAGTTAAAAAAAAGCCCATTTTGTACAACAACACACAAGTTTTTTTTGACAAGATCAAACCAATGTCTCTCTTTGTTTGGTGATCGAATCGAAACAGAAAATCAATCAAGAGGCAGTTCGCCACTCAAGCTCGATTTGGATCTTCCCGTTCTTAGAATCGATAAGATGAAACTTCTGATTCATCCTTTTGTTGTTGACCACGTCCACCACCGGAATATCCACGTACCCCAGTGTTTCCTGCGCATCAACAACAGCCACTCTTTAGTTTTAGAACCAAATGTTTGTGTTACTGTTTTGAGTGTGTGTTGTTTACCTTGGGATGCAAGAGACCTATCCTGGAAGAGGTGCTCAGCACTTCCACGTGCAGCTTCTCGCGGACCGGAGGTTCTTCGAGCATGAATGTGAACTCCTCTTCCCACCTTGGGTCTCTGTTCTTCTTCACGTGCTTTGTTTTCCTCTCTTCCCCTTTGAAATAGATGCGTACGTATGGATTCGTATGGTGCTTTCCTTCCACATCTTCAGCCGAATGCACTATCACCACGAGCATTCCTCCTGCAGCCGGTGTGCCTTCTGGAGCCTTCTGCACCGATTGCGATTCTTCAAAGCCTTTCGGCATTTCTTCCTCCGTGAATGGCTTATACAAGAGCTCAACCTCCAGCTTCCCTCTGTACTTTTCAGGCTGCCCTTCTTCACCGCCCTCCAGTGTCTTACGCAGCTCCAAGGTGAAGCTTTTATGTTCCTCTGGCACCATTTCTTTCAGTGCTAATACATTCATACCCATCTTATCGTGCTTTCCAACCTGCATTGAAATAACCAACAAATTTAACACAAATAGCAGATAGAGATACATATTCAATGTCACCATGGATAGGTTGCTTCTTTACCTGTTCCCAGTCATACACATTGAACTCTAGAATCTGAGTCTGGGGATCTCTGACCGAGAATTTGAACTCTTCATTCCACTCAGGATTCAAATTCTTGTGTTTCACTGTTGTCTTCTTGGACGGAATCTTATCTTCAGAGAGCTTGATTTTCACGTATGGGTCTGCCCCACCCATCAGATCTTTTTTCCTCAGCCCCACAGCCTTCACGATTTTCACATGGACGATTCCAACAGGCCTTCTAAACGCTCTGCGCATTATAAATTAAGATTTGCTAAGCAACAATGATGGATTAAGAGATAGATTGGTTTTTTCAAAGGAAAAAAGGCGGAATCACATACTTGGCAGGGTCAAGGATTGGAACTACAAGGGTCTTAGGCCAGAGATACATGTTCGCAACTTGATCCTTGATTTGCTCCTGAAACAATTCACGCAGCCATGGAACAGCAAATGAAAAAAATTGATCCAGCACAAACGTATGAGCTAAAAAGACCAAACCACTTTCACCAAAATAAGAGTTTGAATCTCCAAATATATATATATATATATATATAGCCAGGCCACACAGAATATGACAGTTTCATTTGCTACTTCTGCGTAACAAGATTGAAACAAATTCTCTTCGTGAAACTAGAAGACTAGAGTGAGCAGTTCCTATGATGACCAATCAAATCAAATTTCTGATCCAAACAAGTGTAAATGGTGCAAGAGAAAGATATTAACCTGGACAAATCCGTAGAGGCCAGGGATTGACATAAGATCTGCTCCACCAAGCTTCAGCCCAAAATCAACGTGTGGCTGCCATAGCAAGAACTGGTCAACAACACAAAAGCTATACCAGATATCTGATAAAAAGAAAACGGTTGAATCACAGACCTTCTCCATAAGAGAGACATAAATGCTGGCAAAACAAGGGAAACTCGGGACTAATGGCTTGAGAGTGATACGAGGCTGGGCAAAAACTTGCAAATCGACCACCTGAGAAAATATTCTTGGCAAGTTAAAGGGGCAAACACGCTTGCTAATATTAAGTTGGGTCTTTCCTTGTTTTTAGGTTGGGTTAGCACAAGCAGGATATCTCATTACCTGAACTGTTGCCTTAAACCCAAATGCCTTGATAGCAACCAAGATATTGGGATTAGCCGCCCATTTCAAGCATGGTTCCATAATCAACTCTTTCTCATCCGTGAGATAAACTTTCATCCCTGCGAAGAGAAGAATAATAACACTTGTAAGTCCTGGAATCAACCAATTCATACGCATCTTAAGCATGTAGTCACCACCAAATCACCCCCGGGTCTTAGTTCCAATATGAGAATGAGGAGGAGAGAAAACCTAGAGTACCTTGGAATGTAGGAGGTAAAGAACCAAGAGTAAGCGTCTCAAATTCAACAGAGTCAATCTTGTACTTGGGAATCTGCTCCTCGATGATGGGCTTTGCAATATTCTTCGCAGTCTTACAGATGGCCTACATGGAGGATAACTGGAGATAAGAAAACTCAAAAACTAGAAAACGAAACAGTAAGAATCAGAGGATGAGCAAGTTTTATTGCAACCTTGTCGAGATAAGGCCACATGTACTCGATAAATCTGTTAATCCAGTCAACCTGGTTCATATAGAGGGAAAAGCATCAGAGGCTGAGAGTGAGACAGAGAAGAGAGAAAGAAGAAATGTGGGGCTGCGTGTAAACACATACACGATCGAAGTCCGGATTCTTCACCCACAGCGGAATCTCTGGAAGCATCCGCAGCATAGCTTTGGGATCCTGCTCTGCTATCGATTGAATTTGAGGATCCTATAACACCATATTTGACATCAGCAACACAGATCATTCCATTCGCTTACGGGCGAGAATCACAGGCATAGGCACCAATAATAATAAGAATCAGTAATGCTCGAAATCGAACCTTGACGTCGTTGGGTTGCAGGTAGACGAAAAGAAAGTAGCCAATAACAAGCCCCATGGAAATACCAACCCCAAATCCGCAAAACCCTAGAATAGTGCTGAAGAAACCCATATTGACTGATTGTTCCCCCCCCTTTCCGTTTCAGATCCAACAAACTATTCTCAGCGAGCACACAAAACCCCACCCAAGAGCTTCCTCAGAAGAAATCCCGATCACGAATTTTCCTTCCGAACGATAAAAAAAAAAACCTGCCGAGGAGAGACGGAGCTTGAACGTGGCCGTTCTCCGTCCTCGCAACCGATCTGTGGTAGAAGAATTACAGATGACTGCTGGGAATTTGACTAATCGGAGGATTGACTGAGATCCATAGGGACGTGGAAATTGGTGGAGAAAGATGAACAGATGTCGCCTGAATCGTCAAGCGCTAAGCAATAAGCAATGTGCAAATGTGTGTGTGTGCTAACGACACCGATTACACCGCTCCCTTTCTCTCTCTCTCTCTCTCTCGGTTTGTTTTTTTTTTTGTTTTTGTATTTTAAAAATAAAAAATATCACCAATAAATGTTTTTATTATAGTCTTTTCGAATCTGAAACTTTGGTCTCTCTGGGAAACCAATCTCTTTCGTGATACGTTTCTTTTTGATACTATAATTAGAAGACAATCTCTCATAACTTTATTCTTTAATCACATGTTTGATCAAATTCTTTAGAAAAAAGCTTCAAAATATATTTTTTGGTTTATCACAAAAGCATTTCATACTAGTCTACAAAGATAAGATAAATATGAGCAGGAAGCATCTGATACTGGGCCAAGATATGTGGGCCAAGGTTAATACTACTTAACATGTAAATGGGAGCCCATTATGACATGACATGTCACGCTTTTAGTGGATGTGAGTGCGATAAGGGCAAACTAGTTGTTGGTGGTCCATGGTAGAGTTGAACACATGCCACCATTACTCTCGTTAAGAGACAAAATGGCATGCCGACAGTCTCGTCGTTACGCAATTCGGTCGGTTTACCTCTCTCAGCATTGAATTGAATTGAATTGATTTTTAATAAACCGGTCAACATTCCACACGTGACCCACACAGCACACGGGGCAACAAAGAACGGCGTCGTTTTAATCTGCGTTTCGGCGGCAACGAATTCAGTCTCTCCCGCCCAGAACCAGAAGAAGAGATGTTCTTTGGATGTGTGTGTGTGCGCGTCTGCTTGGCTGTCGTTTGAATTGTGAGAAATTGATTTGGTAGGAAAATGGAGAAGCACCAAGAGGATCTTGATCTGCTTCTGTCTCTTGACGATAGGGTTCTCGAAACTCCTCCCGGTTCTCCTTCTGCTCCACCCGGTGAGCCCTCGTTTTCTTTTAGGGTTTTTCCTGGTTCGATCAATTACTTGCGTAATAGATCTGATGCTTGAAATATCCGATCTGGGTGCCTCTTTTTGGTACATCCCATTCCGCTCAAATCTCTGTGAAGTTTGATGATATCTCAGATTGGTTTCTCAAATTGGAGGCTGTATCATTTGTGCAGTGTATCTGACGGATGAAGAATCCCCAAAACGTAGGGGTCACGCGGACTTGTCTGACTTCAGAAGTGTTGTGCAAGATTGCCTTGACTACGTCCCTAAACAACTCGCCGCCAAAACTACTAAACTTAAAGGCTCCAATAGCTCCAATCTCAACAACGACATTGAAAAGTTTTCTGGCCTGCGCTTAAGGTAAAAGTCACAGATTTTGTCCACCTGAATGTTCATTGCAGCTACAAGGCCGAATGTATATATACTCACAGATTGTTGTTTAATTGGCTAATCTCTCGGTTTATTGTAGGAATCAATTACTTAGCCCTGCAGAGATAAGTGATCTGTTTTCAGATATTCGTTTCGTTCGATTGCCGACTATCAAGTAAGTGCATCTCTATAGATAAAAATGCAGACTTCACTTTTGGAAAAAAGCATAAGACATTTTTTTAACTTAAAAGGGATTTCTTCTGAGTAGGAACTTGCTAGTGGGTGACAAACTCTCTGGTTGCTGGGCGACAATGGGAGTGCTAACAGAGAAAGGGCAACCCAAAACAAGCTCAATAGGTCAGCCTTATGCCATTTGGAAATTCGGTAGCTTGAACGAAAACACTGTCTCCTTGTTCTTGTTCGGTGATGCTTACAAGAAGAACGAGTCGGAGAAGGCAGGAACCGTTTTCGGTCTGTTTAATTGCTCAGTTCGCAATGACAAAGTGGTAAGCAAGCCTACAGCATCAACTTTTTTGCCTGTGAAGAGTGAAGTACCCTGATGATGGCTTTAACTGAACCTCCTTGTGTGTTTGTGGCAGGGACGTGACTTCTCATTGAGTGTCAACTCCGCTAAACAAATGGTAAAACTAGGAGTTTCGGCTGATTATGGAGTCTGCACAGCCAAGCGGAAAGATGGAACAACTTGTACATCTGTTGTTAACAAGTAAGTTACCTTGGCCAATGCATATCAGTTATCACACAGTGTCCTGTTCTGAATGTTGAGTTATAACTATAAGTTTGGTTTCAGACGCCAAGGAGCATTCTGCAAGATTCATAAACTGGTACACAGTGGTAAACGCCTTAGTCTTGTTTTGTGTCGTCAATGCTATGAACCATGTTTTCAAGTAACTATTGTTTTTTTCTTGCACAGAATGCATCAGACAGATTTGCTACAGCGAGAACTGAACTCAAAGGCGGGTAGGTTAATGCCTGCCGAGTTGTGTTTATTTAGCTTGAGTGGGAATTTTGCATATGATGTTTTTGCTTGTTTCAGGAACTTGAGAAGGGCTTTCAGAGATCAAAGATCCCAAGGGATTTACACAGTTGAGCCACCAGCAGATAGGAGCGGAAACAAAAAGGCAACTCAGCCTGTCCGAGTACTATCTGTGGAAGGTCTCCGAAAGGCTCTAAGGTTGGAAACTCCCAACAACTTTTCTACTTCTTTTTTAGCATAACGAAAGAGAAGCCGTTTTACAGATGCTATAAAATCCAATTGTTAATGTATGCAGTACCGCAGATAAAGTGACGCCTAACGTACACTCACAAGGAATACGTTTCCTGAACGAGATGGCCAGTATGCTTCTTCTTCTTTCTCCTTTTGATACAAAGCTTAATGAGATGCAATGTGACTGATCTTGGACTTGCAGGACAAACGGCTTTGAAGAGCGTTAACAAGAAATCTGAAGCTGTGGAAAAGTCTGTAGAGAAGAGGTACCACCATCTTCCTGATTTGTTGTTATCATCCTGAGTTGTGTTAATGTAAAAAAAAAGGAAGTGTATGATGTTCTGGATTTGTTGTTCTCTTCAGGAAAGCATCGGCAAAAGAAACGCAAGTAAAGGGGGAGCCGAAGAGAAAGAGAAGAGATCACGGCCCTGATACGAGCGAAGCTCCCACCGGAAAAATGATGGTCCTCGATTTTTGCAGCTCTGACGAAGAATAAGAGTCCTCAACATTGTCAAGCACAAGCAGTTGTTCTCAGGCCTTCAAATTTGGGTCTTACGATATATACATCTTTGTTGTTCTCAGTCCTAAACCGGCAAAACAATAACTAGTTATACAAGAGAAGTTACGTTTTTAAACAATACGAGTGTTCGTTTTAAAACACTAGTTAAGTTGAAAGACATCAAACGGCATACACACTTGTTTTATCAAATAATATACATGGGGAGTTATAAGCACAATCAAAATTATTGAAGCAACATGAGTAAAGCAAAAAAGAAGCAACATTGAACTACATATCAAAACCAATATCATTGAGGCACAATGAATAAAGCAAAAAGAACGAAATCTTGGTTGCAGCAAGAAAAGAAAGAAACAATGAAGGAAGTAATTAGTTATGATTGCAATATAAGAGAGGGAGGGAGGCTAAGTAGTGGGCATTGTCCTCCTCCCATTGCTGGATCCCCGCCTCCACACGTGAGAGCTCCTCCGCCGCTATCTCCGCCTCTACCGATATTCTCCGCACTTGCTCCTTTAGCTCCACAAACCCCTCCACGTCCTCTCCTCTTATCATCCCTCTCTTGCTTTGCACACGGTAGGTCTCGTGGGCCTTGTCGGCTCTAGCCTTGGCGTCTTTGGCGGTTTCTTGGACGACAAGGTAGGTCTCGTGGAGTTGGTCGGCGACAGATTTCACGTCCTTGTTGAAATATTGTCTCGAAGATCTGATATCCTCGTCGACTTTAGATCTCAGGTCATCTAGGAGCTCTGCCAGGATGCTGTCTCTCTGAGTTGCAAGCTCTGGGCACTTCACAACATCCGCATTATATGTCTTGCCATCATCACGTCGAAGAGTTTCAAGACCTGAGTGGATCATGTGCTCCATATCTGTCATCATCTTCTTCCCATCTTCCACTAGCTCCTTAAGTTCCTTGCTCACATCACCTTCATCTTAGGTTATAATAATTACATTAGCAGCCTAAAAGAGACGATATATAATTGAAAGCAACATATATAGCCAGAGTGTGTTCATATAACATATAATCACCGGTGGAAGTCGGAGCCGGAGGAGGATGAGATCTAAGGAGGTGGTCGGCGATGTAAATGGAGTGGACCACGAGGGAGAGGAAAACGGTGAGGCGCCAAAGGAAGGCGAGCTCAAATCCTTTAGCCAACAGTTTAGAGTACTCAAGGCCTAAGTAAAACGTGGAGCGGTCCAATAGAAACAGCCAGAATCCTCCAATACCCTAATCAAACATGTCACGGGATTTTAATTGTGCCGGCCACAACAAAGAGTAAGAGATGAATACATTATGTATATGAACTTACAGATGGTCCAACGGAAGAGAGATGAGGACAGAAGAATAAGAAGAAGGGTAATGCCAAAAGAGTAGTGGAGAGAATGAGAGGGACGATGAGAAGTGTCAAATATGTTGGGAACACCAAAACTAGAATTAGAAACAAACGCTCTATCCAAAACAAAAGACTACTTATTTCTCTTCTCCACTCATCCCTTCCTGCTTCATATTCAACACCACTCATCTTCTAATTATTACTCTGTTTGTTCTCGTGTTATGTGATGTATGTATATAAGAATGAAAAGTTCCAAGATTTATAAGAGAAATTATAAGAATCCTACCTAACTTATATTCCTGTAATGTTGGGATTTTTTATTTCTTTTACTAGATTTAATAACATTTTTTATATATATTAATGTTGATATAATTCTTGTTTAGATTTGAAAGTTGCATATTCTGTAAATGGGATTTGGTTTAATAGATGTATGTATATAGAGTAGTGTAGATATAGAGGATCATACACAACGCAACGCTCTACCCAAAACAAACCGCTCTTTACTTTGCAAACGCTTATTTTGCGGCTAGAAACGGATGTCAGTTGTTACACATGACATGATGAACAAAAGAATGAAGAACTAATTGGTTTGGTTGGTCACAAGATGCCATCAAAAACAGATATCCCCTGAAACTTGTCCACTTTGGAACTCAGAAACGCCAAATTCTTGTCGAGACGAGCTCTTCTCATATCAAGATTCCCCAACTTCCCAGCCTTCTCCGTCACTCTCTCTCTCCACTCCTTCATCTTCTCCTCCTTCTCCCTCAGCTCTTTCCCCTGTTTCTCCATTTCTTGTCTCGCAAGCAACACATTTCCCTCCAACACCTCCTTCTCCGTTATGCTCCTCTTGTGCTGGTCGTAGTGCTTCACCGCCTCAACGATCTCCTCAAGGACGGGCTTGAGCCAGCCTGCTTTGATTTTCACGGACTCAACGTCTCTAACAATCGCTAGCATTTCCACCACGCGGCTCTCCTTCAGATGCTTCAAGGGTGTCGTCTGGAGTTCGAAGACCACGGAGGCAAGCATGTCGAGGTAGTAGGATCTCGTGGCAAGCGAATGTAGTTTTGAAGCGGATGCAATGTCCCCGTGCTTGTCGAGGATTTGCTCAAGAGTGGCCGACACGCTCGCTCTGACTCTGTAGTCTCCCACGGAGACGGAAGACTCGGATAGAACGGACTGCATCTCGTACCTCGCTTCATTCTTCTTTACCATTATTCCTTTCATGCGGGAGATCTCTGAGAGACTGAAGCTCTGCGATTCATCTGGTAGCTCCGGGGGCTCGTTGTTTTGCTTATCTTGTAGAACCTCTTGTTCGCTTGGCGTTTTACCGGATTTGTGATGAACGGGCTGCAACAAGACGAGAAGAGTACTTTTGTGTCAATGCCAGCTCTTTCTTGAGCTCTGATATTAACACGAAAGATATACATTACATACCGTGTTGCTTCCAGATTTCGGTGTGATTTCAGGGTAAAGCCAAACAGAGTCATCGTCATGATCATCCACAAACGAAAATTTATCGTCATCTGAGCTCGCGGACTCATCCAGCTGATCAAAATGCTCCTCCTGTTTGGTGGGTGTTTCATATCCACGGCGGCTAGGCTGAGGTAAGAGGCCAGAACTGTCATTAGCATGTGCAGAAAACATGAATAAGATGTGAAGGTAGAGTTGAGCAGTACCGTAATGGGTCTAGAGAGTGGCTTTTCTTGAGGTGACAAAATAAGTTCTGGATAGAGTAGCACCGATTCATCGTCGTTATCAATGTAGACCGACTCAGCTTTGCTCCCAAGATAGTTGTAGGCCTGAGGTGATCTTTGACCCATCTCCCTGTGATCAGGTGACCTTCCTACATAGACTGCAGTCTTTGGCCTACTTTCATGCATTCTTGGCCTTGTCTCCACGGTCCTGGTCCGGTGTTCCGGCGTCCTAGGCCTAGTATCAGCTGTCCGAGGTGTTTGAATAGCAGCACTGTCAAGAGATCTGTGGGATGTGGGCTGAGTTTGTGGAATCCTAGGGATGGGTTCTGGCGTCTTGGAGCGCTGTTTTGGAGTCACTGAAAATGGTTCAAAGTAGGAAGGTTGAGGCTCTGGGGTCTTGGACCTAGGCCCGGGGGATCTAGCCATGAACTCAGGTGACCTCCCTCTATGTTGTGCAGTCCTCGGCCTGGTTTCTGGCGTTTGGGGCCTCCTCCCTGTTGCAGCAGACTCATGTATTGGGGTCCTCGGCCTAGTATCAGAGCGGCGTTCAGGAGGGTCCTCTTGGTGATCCCACGGCCTAGTATCAGAGCGGTGTTGGGGTGTGCGAGGCCTATGCTGAGGGGTCCTAAGAGGGTGTTCAGGAGTCTTGGGCTGAGTTCCAAAGGGCCTTGGTGACAAATCATCGTCATCACCTCCACGCTGGAAGGAGGAAGGGCAGACATATATGAGTTAGAGAGAGTCTCAAAAGAGAGAGAGCTTAATTAGCAATTCTTGATAAGAAGAATGTCCCCTTACCCTTCTTGCAAAATAGTCTGCCCCTGAATACACAGCCAGAGAAGGCGACATCGGGAGCGAGTCCACATTGTTTGCAGACTCGTTCTTGAGTTGGGATGGGCGTCCATGTAGCGGGGAAAGCCGGCTGAAGAAGTTACCATTGGTGTGATCGGTGGAAGGTGAAATGACTGAATCGACCTTCTTCTTGGCGAAATAGCTGGCCAGAGGCGATCTGCTTCCAAGAGCTGGACTGCCTGGAGGAGTGTCCCTGCTCGGTGTTCTCTTACCAAACCCTGACACAAACAACATATGTTTCATCATCATCAGAGAGAGAGAGAAAGAGAGATTCTTGATCACAAATTTTGACTCAAGAAATGAAAAAGAAAAATAGAAAAAACACTTGTCATACCAAAGAGTTTCTTCTCCTTCTTGTGGACGTCTCCAGAGTTTAATCTCTCGAAACAGATAGCAGTACACTCATGGAAAGGATTGCCTGCGTTGGAGCAACCTGGAACTACTTTTCCAGACACCAATTCCATCTCACAAGCAAACTCTCTACAAGATCTCTTTACTTAAAAACAGAGCCTGAAATACACACAACAACAACAAAAACAAAAACAAAAAAAAGTGGTCAGATCCATATAAAAAGGAGAGACCCACCAAAGTAGATCATCACACAAGAAGGGAGTCAACGCTTATGAGTTTTGATATGGTGCAAATTACAGAAAATGATTGATGTTTTCGCTTCCTCTTAATTATGTTTTTCCACAGAGAATGGATTTGACCATCGTTGGTTTTAGTTAGCACACAAACTGGAGTCAAACATGAGACAAGACTAAGATCGATTGTGATGTTCATCAGTTACAAAATCTCACCATCCTAAATATGTTTCCCCAATCACACAATAATACTAAAAAAGGTTTTGGTGAAAGATGATGATGATATATATTCTCAAATTAATATGCACATATGCATGCAAAATGTATAAAGAATAAAAATGGGTCAATGGATACCTGAGGGCTTTTGAAGAAGCCAGTTGCAGAAGAAACGGATGATTTGTATCTTATCTGTATAGAGAGAGAGAGAATGAAGCTTGTGTGTATGTATATGTAGTAGAGGCATCTCTAATATCTATGGGCTACTTCGTTGACTTTGACCGCCACTAAAATAATACTATAAACAGTTTTAAGTTTCAGCCGAGACTTCGTCAATTCGCCATTTCTCCTTTTTACTTAAATGTTATTTATTTCTTGTCAAAGTAGAAGAATAAGATCGAAGCATAACGGAATCAAAGATTGAAGGTGAAAAGGGGACTTTGGAAACTTTCATTTGTGTTCTCACTCCATTCTCCTTTAGTCCTTTGCTTGCTTATTAGTTATTTCCCCTTTTCGGATTTAAATCTTACTATATAAAGTCCATCTGTTTAGAATTTAGACTGATATAATAGTGGTAGACTTTTGTTATCCGAAAAAGGCAAAGTGGAGTAGATATTTTCCCTAGTATACCATTTAAAGAAAAGAAAGAGAAGAAAAAAAAGCACAATGATATTGATATGCATGTATTGGAGAATTTGAAGAAAGGTCTTCTCCTCCTCATTAATTTGCATAGGACAAACAAATTAACCCATAGCCAAAATCATATTCTGACCCGAGGTAACTTAATCACTGAATCAATCACTTGTACATTCATTTGTACAACATCCCCTAATCATTCACAACCGTTGAATAATAAGCCAACATTTTTGTTTTATTAATGGAGAAATTTCACGCGGTTTAGTCTCATGCAAAACAAAACTAGACATGTACTTCCGAGACGACTTGGTCTTTGCTCTTAGAAGAAACCAAAATACGATTGAGAGAGAAAAATGAGTTTTGTTGTACAAGAGTAGAAGAATACACTTCATTAACAACAACCAAGTGAGAGAGATAATCCTCCGAACGAACATCATATAACCATACAATCGAATTCTAAAATATTTTGCCCACTGGAAGAGTAGAAATGGTATTTTATTAATCAGAGCTCGATAAGGACAGCTTCGCCTTCGAATTTATGGACCTTGCTCTGGAACAGCTCCAGGTTCTTCCTCACCCTCGAATCCTTCATCTCTAGCTGCCCCATTCGACCCGCCATCGCCGTCACCCTCTCTCGACAGTCCTTTGTTTCCTCCTCTCTCCTCCTCAGCTCCTCTTTCAGCTCCTCCATCTCCACCTTCCCCTCCGTCATTCCCCTTTTGCACTCCTCTTTCTCCATCTTCGCCGCGTCGTACTGCCCGAAGCACTCCACCGCCTCCGCTAGTTCACCTACGGCTGTTTTGAGCCACGTCACGTCGATCTTGACCGAGTCCATGTCCTTGACGACCGCCGCGATCTCCGCCACGCGAGTCTTGCTCAGATCTCTCAGCGCCGTCGATTTCAGCTCCATCACTGCTGCCGCTAGGGATTCCAGGTAAAAGGACCTTGTTGAGGTGGATTGCAGCTTCGAGGAGGCGGCGATGTCTCCGTGTTTGTCTATGATCGCCTTGAGCGTGGCGGAGACGCTCTGACTCACCTTGTAATTGGCGACGGAGACGTAAGCCCGCTGTATCTCCTTTCCTGCCTCGTAGCTCTCAAGTCCGCGCATTTTAGTGATCTCCTGCAGCGTGAAGCTCTCAGACTCGTCCGCGAGCTCCGGGGGCTCGAACTGCCTGTCTTGCTCGTAGGTATCTGCCCCGGTGGTGATCTGGTACTTGTAGTGAACCGGCTGCAACAACGGAAAGAAATCATTTGGATACTCTGCTTTGGTAAACAGAAAAAGATGTCCGGAAGAGATGACAAAACGCACCGTGCTGCTCCCTGAAACCCCCCTGGAACGATGCCCAGTAGCAATCTCTGGAAAAAGGTAGGTGGAAAGGTTGTCTTCGTCATCGTCGCTGGATGAGTAGAATGGTGGTGGTGGAGAGCGGCTTGTGGCTCCATGAACAGGGCTCATGGGAGGGCTGTTACGCGGTGTGACATCTTCATCTGCCTCGTACATCCCCTCGAATCGATCTTTCCCGTTCTTGTATCTCTCAGGCTGCAACTAACAAAGACCAAAAATCAGAGGATGGGGTTTAACGTTTCAGTAACAAAGGGCTTCAAAAAGGGTACCAACCCTTGTGTGTGGCGGGCTTCGGGAGGGATGAAATGGGCTTGAAGGAGCGCTCCTCCGAGATGTTACATGTCCCTCTGCCTCATACCTTTCTCGGCTGTAGTCTCTCCCTCGATCATTCTGCAAACACAAACTCTGTTTTAGGTTTTGAACGAAAAGAATGTAAAACATAAAGAATTAGAATCACTAGTACCGTGTTGTTGTAGGGAGCTGGAGAGCGGCTTCTGGAGGGGTGAAAAGGGCTCACATTGGCCTCTGCCTCATACATTCTCTCGTACAGCTCTCTGCTAAACTCGGTAGACCTTCTACGGCGATCAGGCTGCAATCACAGTCCAAACTTAATTTGTTCCGGAGAAATTCAAATCAGCAGAATGCCAAGAGAAAAACAAAAACGCAGAAATGAGAGAGTACTGTGCGGGTTCTTGCAGATCTAAAGGGGCTCATAGAACCGTTGCTCCTCGGGGTCACGTCGGCATCAGGCTCATAAGTCATGCCCTCGGTTCTATCATTACCATGCTCTCTAGGACGCTCCGGCTGGAGTTTTGAAGCAAGGATCAAAAAACATGAACAGTGAAAGAAACACAGTAACAATACAATGGGAAAAAGACAGAACCGTGCTATATCTGTAGACCGGAGGGCGATGGTGGGAATTGCGGACACGTTCAGAGGCTTGCTGTTGTTTCCAGTGAGTGGTATGGTCATCGGAGATTGGGAACGCGTGCTCTGATTCCGATCTTTTGATGCCGACGAAATAAGACACAGGCGGAGATCGACCCTCGGTGGGATGAGGTGGGCTCGAAGGGTTGCTCTTGCTCGCATTTTTGTGACCGAACAATCCTGGAAACAAACACACACCACACCATTTTCAGCGCTGGACTGGTCTCCGACAGCTATTATAAGAAAAGAAAAAACTCGAAAGAACTAACCTGCTCTTTTTCCATACTTCTTGTCCCTGTTTGAATTGAAGAAATCCATATCCACCCCCGGATTGGTACGTAAGCCTGCGTGTAAACCGGAAAATTCGTATCAGTCACATCTCCACTGTTATATATAATTGATGTGTGGATATAGTAAAACTAGAACCTAAAATCGATTAAAGAATTCGGATTTTTTTTTTTGTTATGAACTGCCACTGGAGATCTAGAGAAGAGAAGAGAGGTCTAACTACTCTTCTCTTACTTAATACTAAATGGTAAGGAAGGAAGAAATGGTCGGGTAGTTAATAACCTGAGAGTGACAATCACCTCAAAATATTAAATTTGTGGCAGCTCTCTTGTATAATTGATGTCAATCCACCAACTGTAGCAAGCCACTCGCACTGACTTGGTCAATTCTGGCAAACTTTGAAAAATCTGACAGGCAAAAAACACCAAAAAGAAATTATATACTTATAACATTCATACACGACCAAAAACGCCACAACGAGTCAATCATTCCGCTATTGTATCTGTTACCAACCTAAGAATGATTAAGACACAGAGGAGAGCTTTCTTTTATTCTTAGTTCCCAGTAAATTAGAGAGACTACTGTACTTTTCTTGGCGCCATTGTTGACATTTTATCATTTGAAAAAAAAAACTAACGGGCTTTTAAATGGGCTAAATAAGGCTCAGTAATGATCTATCAGAGATTGACCAAATGGCCCATAAGATAAGGGTGCTAAACCCTAAATTGAACAAACCTTAGTTTTCTCTCCGTGATCGATCATCTGGTGTGCTGTTTTCTTCTGTACCGATGGCGACTCGGCTCAAGGAGATTGTGAAGAAATACGGAAAGGTAGCGCTGGGAGTCCATTTCTCCGTCTCCGGCGTCTCCATCAGTGGATTCTACATCGCCATCAAGAACAACGTCGATGTCGAGTCGCTCCTGGACAAGTACCAAATCCCGTGGTTCTCCTCCAAGGAAAACCCTAACCCTAGCCTCGATTTGGAGATCCAAGAGCAAGGTCTGGGTACGACCGACAACAAGACCAAACAGCTCGCCAAATCCGCCGGCGGAGCCCTAGCGCTCGCGGTGCTGTGCAATAAGGCGCTCTTTCCGATCAGAGTGCCCATCACGATGGCGCTGACTCCCCCAATCGCTAGATTCCTCAGGCAGAGGAAGATCCTCAAGGCCGGCGGATGACTCTCCCTCTCTTAGTCCCAAAATTTCAAAAAAAAAAAAGAGTAATCAGTCATCTGTCAATGTTTTTTTGTTCAAAATTTCGAGTGTAATGCCTCTGGAGAAAGCTGATAGGAAGAAATTTGTGTTAGAGAAATTTGAGATATATTGTTGATTGATGCTTACAATAAGTCAGAGTTACCAATCATTTGATTTGGGTACACTTTAGCATTCTCCATTTAACATGTCTCCTCTTTAGTCTGTATACTAAACTAAACTCAGACACATCAACACATAAATATAAGAATATGAATCGTAGTAACGTATCATATAAAAAATCCAAGATTGCTGCCCAATTTTGTTGTCTACATTTTGATTCCTAGAAGAAGATTAAACCCATCCAAAGCTTTCATTTTCACATTGCACCCAGCCAAAAATACAAAATACATGTGAAAGAGTAGATTATTCGTGGACTAGTTGGTAAATATATCATAGTTAGTAGTGGTCACTTGATGGTTAGAAAGCCCAAGAGTTATGGATAATAAAGGCCCGGCCCATAAGAAAGTAGAGTTTTTGGGATCTCAAGTGATTTGATCATCGCTTCGGGGGATCTTCAAGGGGAGAAGAAAGGTGGAAGATGATCGTTTGCGTCTCCGTCGTCGGCCACCAGGTCTGCCGCTGACTTTTACTTTCCGATTTCTGATCTGATGTGATGTGATGTTCATTGTTTCTGACTTGGATCCACAAACAGAACAATCCGCTTTACATACAGAGCTTCACGGATGCCGACGATGCCCTCAAGCTCCACCACATCGTCCATTGCTCCCTCGACGTCATCGAAGAGCGAGGTCCTTTCTTTCATCCTATTTTCATTTCAATCTCTTTCTGATTTGCTCATCTCTTCTTTTGATGTGTATCTTCGTTTTCCCAATAATTCCGAGCCTTTTGTTCTTTCCGAATTTTTGTCTGCATTTCTTCGTCTTGCGGATACAACTTGTGTCCTTGAGTTGTAAAAATATAGAGAGTAATGTCGATTTTGTCTTTGAATGGTGTCAATCTGTTTCTTCAGTGAACAATCCGAAAAAGTCTGGTACAACATTGAACGAAGCATTTCTTGGCTTGCTCTATCCGACAGTGAACTACAAAGTGTAAGCACAAAGCAGTGTCAACATTCGCTCTCTCTCTCTCGATGACTATGATGATACTCTTTTCATGCGTCCTTCTTCTTCATCTTCTTCTCTTGCAGGTATGGTTACTTGACCAATACCAAAGTGAAATTTATTTTGGTCACAACTGATTTGGATGTCAGAGACACCGACGTGAGAAGTGTAAGCATCTTTTTCATCTGCTCAGATACAACATTTCATACTCTTTCTCCATCACTTACTTAGTTCATGCTCTTCTACTTGTGTTTGTTACATTCATTCACTTACCCTTTGTTTTCTACAGTTCTTCAGGAAGTTCCATGCTGCCTACGTGGATGCAGTCTCTAACCCTTTCCATGTCCCTGGGAAAAAGATAACCTCAAGAACCTTTGCACAAACTGTAAGCAACATCGTCGGATCATACGGTCTAAACTGAGCTTCTTAGTTGCTTTTTGTAGCTCAGAGACTTGTGTTTGCTGAGCATTGAGGAAATGTCATTGTCTTTATCATCATTTGCTGTTAATATCAACTCTGGGATTGCTGTAAGAAGAATTGTTGGTTCAAAATGTTGAGTCATGAATGGAAATTGAAGTTTGGTCTTTGATGGGAGATATGTTGAATAAGTAGGGACTTTCCCAACCATGATCTCATGAGTTCTTTCTTCCTTGCTATCAGTTTATTAACAAGTAGTCAATCACAGTGCATCAGCGGGGATCGCTTTATTATATCTGCTTCTGATGCTCTCTGATCAACCAAGAAGCCGTCGACATGGTTCACACTCTGATCTCAAAAAGATTTGACCGACATGTTGTCTTATTTGGTGCAAACAAACATTATGAGCCTAGCCATGCTAACATTTACTACCCGTGGCTCCTCATCCATTTTTCCGACTACTTGTTCCAATATCTGTAACTAGTCTACACATGTATGCTGTAGCTGTGTTGATTCTTGCCTGGGAAGTGAAGCAAAGCACATGCTAGTATTGTTTGTCAACTCTGTGTTAGTAGGTAGGAGTGAATTGTAAAGAAAGTGATCACACTTTTTTTTGTTAATTCTACAAACTCTCTAGATGAAGCTCTTTGATTTGGTTTACACAATACTGTAGAAACATGAAATTTGCAAGGAATCGATGAAGGCTGATGTTGGGACATGAGATTCCTGAATTGATGTTTACTTTTGGGTGTTCTGTACAAAATGCATATAAACGGAGAGGGGAAGACGTACATATACCAATGTCACAGGTGTGAGCTAAAGCCAATGTCTAAGGTTGTTCTACCGTAAGCAGAGAGACACCAAGAACTGAGAGAAGACTATGAATTCAGTCACGACGGCGGCTGGGGAGTGGAGACCCAGAAACGGGACAACATCAACGTGGAGCCAGCTCTCTACGGTGGATCCCACCACCGCACCTACCACTAGTCCTCCCGCCGTTATCGCAGCTGCTTTCCCTGCACCAAACGCAGAAGAAGAAAGCTGCATTCAGAGGTGCTCGCTGTCGTGAAGAAAGAGGGTAGATAGGGAAGCTATGGTTTACCTAGCTTGACGTTCCTTTTGGTCATGAAGTATAGGGAAGCTCCGAAGCTGGTGGCCAATATAAGGCCGGGTACATCAGCACCGGCATAAGGCACCCCCGAAGACTCGAAGGAACTGCCGTTCACGTAGGTCAAGGCCATCATGGCTCCATAGACTCCGGCTTGTATTCCGAGACTGCTCGTGGAAGGCATATCAATAGAGACGGGTGGGTTCTTCATCCACTGAGACACCCTACCCGTTCCCAGAGGGTTAGCGGATTTAACGTCGGCGTAGCGAATGTTGTTGCTCACAACTTTGCCTGCTCGGCGTTGGTTTAGGCTCTGCATCAGCAGCATGTCATATGCAGCCTCCGCCTGATGAAATTCACAGAAAGAAACCTTTTATTATAGAAAATTGGAGAGAGATTCATCTGAATACGATCCGATAAACCTAACCAGATTTAGGAACTTGCGAATTTGTTGATACTAAGATAGACATGAGAAGAAAGCTGATTGAATTCGAGAAAGCTGATTGAATTCGGGAAATTTGGAGTCACCTGGGAGATGGCGTTGGGGTCGTCCTTACGGGAAGCAAGGATCGACTTCTTGGCGCGAAGTATTTCGTCGAAGGAAGCTCCTTCGGAGACGCCGAGTACCTTGAGAGCCGTCTCCACGGACATGTCGAACGGCGGAGAATCGTCAGCGCGGGAACTGGCTCGAGGCGCCGCGCATCGCCGCCGCGTGGGCAGGAGAATCGCGGCGGAGCGCCAGGGCTTACCGGGAGCAAAGAAAAGGGAATCGAGCTTGGTGGGGAGATAGAGCGGGCGGAGAGGAACATCGGAGGCTGAGCCAAGGCGGTTGGGTCGGGCGGAGAGAGCTGCGGCTGCCATTTTGCTTTCTCTTTGTGTCCACCAAAAAAATCAAACACAGACAAGTGCTAAGGATTTGAGGGATCCTGATCTTTCTTTATCCACCGTCAAAATCGAGTCTAAATTGTACGGCTTGAATCACACCCGTCGGATTGGAACGGCGGACGGTAGATAGACCTATAAGTATTTACTAAACATCAATCCTCTTAAAACATGTCAAGACACAAAACACAATTAGAAGCGTGGAAGCAAAAGAAATCGGCAATATATTTATTTCTTTTTGTTTTTGATAAATTGATAAGTATATGAGAAATGTAAAATAATGGTTCATCTATTTCATTTTGGTTTTTGGCATGTAACGTATTTGTGGTCCACCTCCTTTCTATCGCTTCTTTCTTGCTGGTAACTTGTAAGACAAATATTCTGTATCTGTTGGAAATAAGCATATAGGATCGACTCTGATGATGTCATGTCACACAAGTCGTCTGATAAGTAGTCTCAGACTGACATCTTAGCCGCAAAAATCTCCAGAAACCATCCAGAAGAGGTCAGGCTCTTAAAATCCTTCCTCTGGAACAAGTAAGCTTTGCGAGAATCACACTTCCTATCTTACCTTCTTCTGTTATTATCTGAATCTTGTGTGTACAAGTTACAACGAAACTAAATGAAAGAAAATTGAAAAGAGTTTTGGAGAATATTTGAGGATTTGTATTTTATCTTGTTTTGTCGGATATTTTTCAAATTTTGTATCTAACATATTTGAAACATATGGTACAAAAGATAATTTGTTAGTATATATTATTATTACAGGAACAAAAGAAAATTGTTTTAAAAGAAGGGAAAACAAAACAAATCTTTTTTGTCCATTTTCCAATAGTGTTGATAGTCGACGATAGATCTCAGCCGGCTCTCTCTCGCTGTGTCTCTCTTCTCCTTCCTTTGGCAGATCTTTGGATCATAAGAAAGGTAAACCTTCTCTCCGATCTTCAAATTACTCTTGATTACGCCTACCATTCGACTCCCTAGAAACTAAGAATCGTTGTTCCGTTTAGTCCAGTAGGTTCTTTGAAACTCAAGTGCGTGTCTCTTTGGATTTGATCAGGAATAGGTTAGTTTCCCTTTGATTGATCGAGAAATGGGTGCTGCTGAAAACAACAGCCTCGGAATGGAGGAGGGTGCCCTGGAGATCGGCATGGGTAAGTCAAATGTTTTATATATGATCATATGTGTTATTGAACCAATATGGATTAATAGTCTTGTCAAGCTTAATCTGCAGAGTATAGAACGGTCTCTGGTGTTGCTGGGCCTCTTGTCATCCTTGAAAAAGTTAAGGTATTATATTCTTCAGGGAACTCTGTTTTCTCTAGACTCTCATCCGAATCCAACATGCCCGGTCTTACTCTCTGCACCACCCCCAGGGACCCAAGTACCAAGAAATTGTCAACATCCGTCTTGGGGATGGAACTACACGACGTGGTCAAGTTCTCGAGGTTGATGGCGAGAAAGCTGTTGTTCAGGTTTTGAGTTTTTTCCCACCTTTCTTCCTCTCAGTCCTTTATGTCTGGTTGATTGGCATCTCCAGTGAATTGAACTTCACGTTGCTTCTCCAGGTCTTTGAGGGAACATCTGGAATTGACAACAAGTACACCACCGTTCAATTTACAGGGGAGGTACGCTAGTAAATATAATCTTCAAAAGTAACATCCACTCATCTCCTTCGTCTGCTTACACATATGTACATTTGTGATTCTGTTATCTCACTTCTGCCAATATGTTTTCCTTAGGTTTTAAAAACTCCCGTCTCATTGGATATGCTTGGCCGCATCTTTAATGGTTCTGGGAAGCCCATTGACAATGGTCCACCTATATTGCCTGAGGCTTACTTGGATATTTCTGGTGAGTCTCTTGACCCATAGTTACCTCTCTCTCTAAGGAAAAACGTGAACATGATGAATTCTCGACTCTTGTTTCTCCAGGAAGTTCTATCAATCCTAGTGAGAGAACCTATCCTGAAGAGATGATTCAGACTGGGATATCAACCATTGATGTCATGAACTCCATTGCCAGAGGACAGAAAATTCCCCTTTTTTCCGCCGCAGGTCTTCCTCACAACGAAATCGCTGCTCAGATTTGTCGTCAGGCTGGTTTGGTTAAGCGTTTAGAGAAGTCAGATAATCTCCTTGAGGTATTTCTTTTTGACCATCAGAGTCATATGACTGTGCATACCATAATCCACCCATTTCCAAGAAACTTAAAGAGGGTTTAGCTGAACTAGATATTGCATGATTCTTTCCTCCAGATGAAGCTTGCGCTGTGATCTGTTCATTTCAACATAACTCTGCTGTAAGATTTTGTTCTTTCAATATCGAAATTAACGTGTCACATTTGTTTGTGAATTTGCAGGACCAGGAAGATGATAACTTTGCCATTGTGTTTGCAGCCATGGGTGTGAACATGGAGACTGCACAGTTTTTTAAACGTGATTTTGAAGAGAATGGGTCGATGGAGAGAGTGACACTTTTCCTTAACTTGGCAAGTCTCTCAGTCAAGCTGTAGATGCCTTGAAGCGATATAGCTCTAATGTTTCTTTGATTTCATGTTTCTCTACAGGCAAACGACCCCACGATTGAACGTATCATCACTCCTCGTATTGCTCTCACTACGGCTGAGTATTTGGCATATGAATGTGGCAAGCATGTCCTTGTTATTCTCACTGACATGAGTTCTTATGCCGATGCTCTTCGTGAGGTGACAACCGTTGTTGACATCTTCTGTTTATGATGTATGTACCCCTCTGAGTGATAGAGAGCCTGATTTAGTGGTTAATGTTGATGATTGCTCTAGGTTTCTGCTGCCCGTGAAGAAGTACCCGGTAGGCGTGGGTACCCAGGTTACATGTACACTGACTTGGCCACCATATACGAGAGAGCTGGACGAATTGAAGGGAGGAAAGGTTCCATCACTCAGATTCCAATTCTAACCATGCCAAACGATGGTAATTTCTACCACAACCCCTTTTTCTTTTTTTAAATCTTCTTCCTAGTGGCTTCGCAGGTTGTAGGTGTATTTGTATACGAGGATTCTTAGTGATCTTTTTTTGTTCGAGAAATCTAATTTCATCTCTTGGTTTGATCAGATATCACACATCCCACACCCGATCTTACAGGATACATCACAGAGGGACAAATCTACATCGACAGGCAGCTTCATAATAGACAGGTAAAAATCATGTAGTGGAAGATAACATTATCCTCAAGAGTTGTGGCCTAAGTAAAGATTGTGTTTGCATTCGACAGATATACCCACCGATCAATGTCCTGCCGTCTCTGTCTCGTCTCATGAAGGTAAAGTGAAAACTTGTACATTAGATGGGATTGGAAAAAGACGCATCAGTTTTGGTGGATCACAGTCTACTCTGCTGTGTTTTGCAGAGTGCCATTGGGGAAGGGATGACTCGCAGGGATCACTCTGATGTTTCAAACCAGCTGTATGCAAACTATGCCATTGGAAAGGACGTTCAGGCAATGAAAGCCGTGGTTGGAGAAGAAGCACTCTCGTCCGAGGATCTGGTCTCTCCTCCGACTCTTCTCTTTCTAATTTATATGTATTGAACAAACTCAGTTTCTTTGTCACTCACTTGGGTGTTGTGCTAACAGCTGTATCTGGAGTTCTTGGACAAATTCGAAAGGAAGTTTGTGGCACAAGGAGCGTATGACACGCGTAACATCTTCCAGTCGCTGGACCTGGCCTGGACACTCCTCAGGATCTTCCCGCGTGAGTTGCTTCACCGTATACCCGCAAAAACCCTCGACCTGTTCTACAGCAGAGACTCCACCAACTGATCTCATTCCAAATTCATCTTTTCTTTTGATCTTTTTTTGCGCTTTGGTTCGCACCTCTCTCTCTCTGTCTCTTCCCAATAAAAAAGGTGTCTGACCCAATCGCCGGCAATTCTTTTGAACATTCTTTGTATTATTTATTTTTAACATATTTTCTGTCACCAATGAAATAAAAACCCTCGATCGAGGCTTGAGCCACTGTTATATGTGTGGCAATTCAAGGATGCTGCTTCAATTTTGCATTGGCATGATATTAAGAATTTTATGTTGTTCACGTGGTGTAAATGCGTAACTATTTGAAATTAAGGTTTTGTGTGATTCACGTTGAGTAAATTCAACTGATTTCTTTACAGACAGACATGCTGCAGAGCACGATCATGGATGTGTTTATGTTACAGTTTACAAATTGAAAATATGGCGTCAACGGGAGTTTCGTAGCCCTTAAAATAAGAAGTATTAATGATTGGTGGTGACTGAATATTATTGTTAAATCATTTGCGTTTGATTCGAGAAACTTAATTTAATGGTTTAAACGATTTAAGAAGGCACAAACCAAAGTATTCTTGTGAGAGAAAATTGCCACATCTCGTCACAGCGAGTCTTCATCACGTTCCAACTTGTCAAGGTACACCAAAACGACGGCGAGCTCCTGTGATAGTCTGGGAGAGTCGGTGATGTATAAGTACACGTCTCTCCGGGAAATCTTATCGGTGAGTCCGCCGCCACCGCCTCCTCCACCAACTCCAACTCCAGACTCACCTGTGAAGTCACCAGCAATGCACGGTTGTGGGAGCGGCTCAGAGATACCAATAAGGAACCTACTGGTGAAGCAAGCGGCTCTGGCTTACCTGCAGCCTACGGCAGGGAGGCCACCGGAGACAGTGGTGGAGGAAGGTCTTTTTGGTAAAATCAAGGAGGTTTCCTGCGGAGGGCTATGCGGGTGTCTCGAGTGGCTCCACGGCGTCGTCTCAATGGACATCTGGAGTACAGAAGAAGAAGACGATAGTAATCTTTTGATGAGACCAAGGACGACAGGTGGAGGATGATAGTTTTCGAACCTGTTGGTTTTGTACATATACAATAAGGTTTGCTTTATTCTCTGCAAACAGAACCCTGTGTGTTAAATCACCATTCATCAGCATCAATCATCATCAGAGATGTTTCTTATAAAGAGAGTTCTTTACCTTTCTCGAGGTTGCTTCCATTCAAATGCTCTTAGGATCATACATAGACTCCTGGTATCTTCGTGTCACTGCAATTGCAATTTGAGTGACAAATTACATTTAAAAAAGGTTTGCAGCCGTGATTAAGAGGCACAAATTTGGCTTCCAATATACTGTCGAAATGAGTAAGAGTTTCACACTATTAAGTCTCGCAATTTCATATGATATTTCCATCTGCATATTAACTTACTGTGTTAACATAAGTGGAACTATGCAATCTGGTGTAGTGTGCTCAATAACGTTTGTTGGGATATTTGAGAGATTTACATTATCAGAACCAGGGCATCCACCAGATGTACATCTTGCCAAGATTTTCAAGTGAGACTGCGTCGGCTATCAACCGGCGAGCCTGACCTTCTACCGGTAGGGGAACACCAACAACCACCCCTCGCAGCCGGGCTTCGATACTGCTTATGGCACGCTGCAATTGCCACATTATTTGATTATCTTGTGCAACTTCCAAAAAAGAGAGGTATGACTGTCATGTAAGAGAAGCATTGATGATGCAAACCTGAGCATGTGGGTTCTGAACTTCTACCCCGCTTGATTTGTGTGATTTTGTCCACTCCACAAGAGGATCGTGGATGAAGGTCTCAAGGATGCTCATTAATGTCTCCCTATGTGTCCTCAACACTGTGAGAGTGATTTCACATACCCTCATGAAAATGCCTTCATATCCAGTGATTCCCAAACCATCGATCATGTTCTGTTGTTTGGAAAACCAACATTCACAAGGTCATTATTATAATATAAAGGGAAGAAAGAAAAGTACCAATAAACACACACACAATCGATTTTCCATTTTCTTTCCTGGGTCAATCTGAATGGCACAAGCTCAGGCTTCTCCAGTTGTAAGCCTTTGTCAAATAAGCAACTGAAGTCTACATGAACACAATCCCCTGACGTAGAATCAAAGAGTATATTTTCTCCATGACGGTCACCAAGTCCAACAATGTGCCCAACCATGGACCAAACTGCTGTCGTGTGAGCATAAGCTACGCGTGACCGAAACCAAGCAGCTGGTTCAGAAAACGTTGTCAAGAACCATTTATGGAAAACTGGAGGGAACATAGGGAGGATCTTGGTCTTGAGCATCTCATACTCCTTTTTCACAGGACACTGATCATATATTCTTTTAATTTGAGGATTTGTTTTCTGCCGATCAAACCTCCCACAAGAAATGTATATATCTTGTAGAATATGGCGGAGTCCACGTGTATGTGGAACCCACTCCACCATACCACAGTCCTCGGTCAGAGGAACTACTGCAAAGGTGCGGATATATAGCTTCCTTCGCCTGCTTTCGGGATATTTGGATAGTAAGCGATTTATCATAGCAGTAAATTCCATCATCCGAGCATCTTTCCTGAGATCATCCTTCGGCTTACAGAGGAATGGGTACTCAATACCATCATTTCCCAGCAGAATGATCTGAATACAGAAAACGTAATCTACTAGTAAGGGACATTGCATGACTGATGTATTCAATATTCATGTTATGAAATAATGCATAGGAGACAGATAATAGGAGATATAAGCGGAGAGCAATGAAGAAAATCATATGGAATTATTACGTTAAGGTTTTTAAACATACCTTCTTCGGGCGCTGAAGAGATGAAAGTATCTCGGCTTCATCAGCTATACCAGAAATAGTTGGTAGATCTGAACCAGAAAAGACACTGGCAGAGTGTCGCTCATTATTGCTCATATCGAATGCTGGTAGGGTAATGGTAAGAGATTGTTGAATTGGCATGATGATATCCAGCGGCATCATTCTTTTCAAGGCACTAAATTCAGTTGCTATATTGATAATCTTGGATCTTGGTTGTCCCCCATGGAAGCACAGTTTAATGAAATGATCAGTCAAACTAGCAAACTGAAGGAACAGATTGTGGCCTCTGTCACTTTGGTTAAAGCCTTTTCGTGCACCTTGTATGATTTCTGCAGCTGCTTCCCTCCTAGCAGGAACAGTAGATTTTGAGACAGCTGCCATAATCCATAGCCCTTGCTGAGGAAATTGATGTAGAACAGATGTGATGATATTTTTAACCATTTGTACTGTTTCCCCGTTCTGATGACAGATTCTAGAAACCAACTGAGGCAACACAGTTAACCATTGATAGGTTGGCAGATCCTTTAAGCAGCCCCTCATTAAACTCATTATCTGTCAAAAGAAAAATATATGAATACATATTAAATAGGGGAGAAGCATGATAATACCCAAGAGCTACGAAATATGAAGAAAGAGTCCATAATCACTACCTTCATATGAGTACTTTTCAATTCCTTATTTCCTGCTGAACCACTCATTTGGTAGACAGTACCAAAGTCAAACCATAGTGTCAACAACCTCGGAAGTGCTTGAAAGAGATTCTTGTGCCCACTGTGAAGTCCCTTAGCATAGAAGTACATTCCCTTAAATAGGTAATCCCACCCAGCTTTCTCAGTGCTCGAGTTCGATGAGGCGGAACCTTTTTTGCTGCCTCCAGAGCTCAACACAAAGCTCTCTTGTTGACACTTTCTTGCATCAACATATAGCTCATCGTAATACTTAGCCAAGTGGAAATATCCCTTCTCCCAGGGCTGCAAGTCCTTGACTTGGGTGTAAAGATTTAAAACATCTTTCTTTTGTTTTTGCCCACTGTAATGGATCCATTTGGAATACAGAAGAAGAGTCTTCGCAACATTTTTTTTGTCGTTGAAAGATTGTGTGTTACGAACTGTTGGCTCTGGATTTAGGGGAGCCATCAATAAGCTATTGATAGAGGAAATCACAGTGGAGTCAACAACTCCCTCAGGCATATTCAGGAGAGACTGTTGTAGCTCTATCATTGCACTGTCTGAACGCCTAGTGATCCAAAGAAGTTTTGCCTTTTCCATGTGAACATTAGGTGCACCAGAAGCCTGAGCTTCCAAAATTGCCCTGTGAGCAGTCTCATAGTGTCCAGCCAAACGGCAAAGCTTTGCATATTGAAGCCAACAGTTCCCAACTTGAGCACCAAGCCCGGAGGCACCAAAGACAAGCCTTCGGAAAGCTAAGAGAGGCTCCCTTGTCCACAATGATGACTGAGTAAACCTGAGCCGGTTCTCCCAGTTATCTACTACTTTTGAAAACACCGGATCAGTTGTACTAAATGATTTCTCCAAATATGAATCCCCATTGAGAAGCGCCTGAAAGTCCTCTAGCTCCCTTAGCAAGTGAAGTTTAACAACAAAAGGATAAGCTCGCGTATAGGAGTCCATTCCTGCAGCAGCTAGAGGAGCAATGAGAGCTTGTTTGGAAATTGCTATTCTCTCAGCTACAGAGTATTGATCTTTCTTCATCATTGCTTGGAGAATCTTTGCGACATCTCTGTCAAAAGAGGCATTACTGTCTGAGCTACTGAAGAGTAGACCTTCTTCATCAGCTCCACCAAGATACTCATCCATCAAGTCCCACTTTCCAAGTCTCCATGCAGCTTGCACACCTTGTGTGCACCACGTTTTTTTGTACTCAGGTACTCTGGAAATTAGTCCGTCAACATGAGTGACCATTGTCTGATGGTGGCACATGTTAAGTAAGCAATTAAGAACATCTGAGTGTCTTTGGACTGACGTTGGTTCCATCTGAAGGGCTTGTTCACATGCAGTGAAGACTTCTGCCCAGTTACCGGATTTCTTATCTATCAACAATTGGTCTTGCAAACTTAAAGATTTGCTTAAACTTGCAAAGCCCGAAAGACCATCAGGCTCGTCAAGGCAGCTGTATATTCCCATCAGAGAAGAAACATCAGCATTTTCAAAGAGGCCTGACTTCTCAGCTGCGGGATTTAAGGACCCTGACTTTTCACGTACATGGGATTCGAGGTACATCAATGACCTAGCATAAGCTTGACACCTGAATGATGCCCTAGCAAGGGTCACCTTGGGAATAGCAAGCAAAAGCTCCAACACATATTTACATTGTACAAGAAGTTGATCCTGCTCTGTTGTTGATGCTGAAACCTGGTCTTTTGATTTGGATGCTACTTGCCTACCGCCTGATGACTGCAGAGACACTGAGAGTGCTACTCCTTGCTTCACATCGTCAACCCATTGCCCTAGGTTATCAAGAAGCGTGAAAACAGCTTGAACACAAACTTCACTCTGACCGACGCCACCGCTGTTTATTGTCACCCCACTATTTTCTGATGCAGCAGCATCAAGAACAGAGAGTATCTCTTCTGAAATGCTAAGCCGTGCTGCCTCAGTCCCATGGCAAACAACATCCAGAACTAAATATGGTAAGAGATAAGTAGCTGTCTGCATATCGTGACGCACTATGCCTCGGCAAGCAGCAAATATGCCTACACGGGATCCAGTTGCATGTGCTGTCAATTTCTTTATCCAGTAGGATAGCCACCTTCTGAATGACATAGAAGGCCGATAAATTGGTCCAGCTGATCCAGGGTCGGACGCATTTGGAAGCTGAAACCTTGAAGTCAAGCAGGGAGCTATTAGTTCTTTAACATAGTCTGAGAACCGGTCCCATAGGTTTTGTCCCCTTTCATTCACTTCATTGCTACCTCTCGGTCTTCTAGAACCAGATACATTGAGTAGCACACGTTCTTGTGGCGTAGAGACACCAGCATTCCCAGCTAAGGATGGCTCACAACCAGCAATCTTTAGTAATTCCTGTATGGCAAGAGCAGCCGAGTCTTGAATGATTGTATCCTGTGCAGCTCTAAAAGCTCTTGCCAAGTGTTTGTGAATGAGCTCAAAGATAAGATCATCATCTGAGCATTGGATTTTAAAACGGTTGCATGAAGCAACTCTCACTTTGGCGGGGTCAATAGCGCCTATTGCTCCAAGACAATCTGCACAGACTAGCTTCAACCTCTGACCCACAGTAGTGCGTGATTCTTCTGCACATCCCTGTAGTAAAGATGTGATCAAAGAACTCAAGATCTCCATGTCTGAGATAAGTTCACCGGCAATCAGTGCAGCAACATCTTCATTTCTCTGATACAGCAATTTGCTTAGCTCACATGCCACCATGTATCTAACATTCAGGTTCTCATGTTTCATACAATTTACAATATCCCGTAACTGATCCTTCAGGCTCATCAATCCACGTGCTTCTTGAATAGCATTGTTCAATTCTGCTAAAGAAGGTATGCTAGGTAAGAGGGGGAACTCACATATGTGCTGCTTTAGTATATCTCTATTCTTCAAAACAAGTTCTTCAAGAATTTTCACCACTTCGTCTAGATATACATGGGGACCTTCCTTCTCTCTCTCTAAGAAGGGTATAAGTGCCGCAAAAACTTGAGAAATCACATGCTTTATGCTAGACGGAGATACGGCAGACAACTTTTTTGTAAAAAAATGTAAGACCATGAGACCCTCGCTTTGAAGTGCATCTTTGTCAATGGCATGCATAAGGAGAACCATAAGCTTCGGCACATATGTGCTGAGATAGTGGCCCATCATCTCAATGAGCAGCTTAATACGCTTCAATGCTTGCTTTTGAAGAAAAATATCATCTGCATGAAGCATTTTCCTGTCAATACTGTTAAGGAGTCCAACAAAATGGTTTTGTAAAAATCCAGGAAGATCCTCTGCATTTGTTAAAACTTTGGAGATCTTCTTTATTGCCTCAGGCAGTCTCTGTAGCCTGCATAAGCAAAATGTTGAAATCAAACAGCATGTCATTAAAATTATAATTGCAATTTCCTCTCAAGGCTTTTAAACTCTAGCTAGTTCGGTTGACATGTAGGTGTGGATGAGCACAATATAGAACAGTAAACACGCATAGAGATCAAACGAACATGTAAAGCAAATAGATGGCACGTTCTACTTTGTAAAGCAAATAGATGGCACGTTCCCCAATAAATACATCTGAACCGAAGAACTCTAACAAAAGAAAAAATTATCAAAATATTCATGCATTTTCCAGCAACCAATTTCTGCTCAAAAATGTACAAAGCTACGCTAATACATACCTTCTATCTGTCTCGGGTGTATCCGAAATGTCCACAAAGCACACCAGCTCATCTAAGAGTGCAGGTAACGCAGCAGCGAAAATTTCTTTGTTGTCTGAACCAATCTGTGAGTGATACAATTGCAATACTGAGAGAAGATTCTTCTCTTCTTTCTGATTCAGCGCAAAAGCAAGAACTCTCGGTAGCCAATTTACAATTAGAGGTACCACATCTATCTCTAATAACTTGGCCAGTTCGCTCAAGGTACTGGCTGCTTGAGCATTTTCCTGCCAATATACCAAGAGCTTAGGAAGAACAACAGGGACCATATTCCTCACAAGTTCTCCAGTTTCAACACCCAAAACAGCCTCTGCAAATTCTTTTACCACATTTGGACGGTTGGTCAGCCTGACGGATAGATTATCAAACAATGCATTTTGAACATGAGCAGCTCTGGAAAGTAGCATCGCAAACCCCCCTTTCACATGGATGTAGCATGACCGATTTATTAACCTTGATGCATTTATTCGAACGATCAAGTTTGGATGATCAAGCTGATCAATCAGCAGGAAAAGAGAAAACAAGAAAAGCTCACTGGTGATATCTGCAGCAACCATAACTTCAGCTGTCGTTTCCAAGAGAGTCTGGATGATAAGAAGATCCTTAGCTGTTGCTAGAGAGTCCTCAATCAAATCAAAAAAATTCCTTTCGCAACTTTTCTCCGTAGCATTTTCATCAAGAAACAAACAGCTCACAATAGGATGCTGTACAAAGATACCAATCTGGGCACAAAATGCTTCCCTTACATCTGTATTTACATGTAGTAGCAGATATTGAAGGCATCTTATCCATTGAGACCTTGTTCTGACCAGAATATCCGGGGCTGTGTGGCCAAGAATTCTTCGTATTACTTCTATACATGCTAGTTGAATCTCTTCAGAAGACTCATCATAGAGAAGACTAAAATATAAGGACTGAAGTTTAGAGTAATCACCATGATGATCCATTTCCATATTCACCATCTCTGGAGTCTTTATAATTCTGAAATGCTTCTCATCTTTGCTTTTGATAAATTTATCACACTTGGAACATTGGAATCCTTGAAGTAGACAATTCAGAGTCTCATCTTTCTTTACATCTTCATGTAGGAATATATGGCATGCAGTTTTGTCTGAGCCAGTAGTATTTGATCCGTAAAGGCACGATAAGAAGCCAAGAGACTGAGGTATGGTCTTCTTAACCATCAAATGCTCTTCTTTCAACAAATACCTATGAATGTAAGACACAAGGATAGTTAAGGTGTGAATAGCAATATGAATAAAGAATAGTATGTCATTTTTTTCTCATCAACTTACTCCAGCCTTCGGAATATATGAGGAAGGGCATCAATATCAGAGAATACAACTTTCAGTGGCATGGAGATAACAGCGACAGCTCGCACTTGTTCAAAATCATCAGAAAGAGCCATATTGAAGATATCAAAACCACTCCCGTCACGTAAACCAAGCTTTGTCCATATCCCCACAGATAAGCACTTAGACTTTAATAAAGAGCCAGGCTTCTTAAACAGCAGAGAGTGCGTCCAAGGCAGCTTTAGCAATACTTGTATAGCATCCAAGTCATTCCCTTTACTTGTATATTCACATTGTAAATCCAAATCTGATGAAAGGGGGATACATTAAGAGATGCTGGATTCAGAAATAGTATAAAACAAAGGAAACGTCAGACTTCATGGACAAGAAAAGTTACCAGGCACGAGTAGCGCACTGTGAATTCCTTCCAAGTAATAAGAAATGTCGAACACAACTGGATATTTTTTCTCAACCTACATACGAATCTGTCAGAAAACACTGAAAATGAAAACGCTAATATAAGAATAGGGACTGGGGAGTTTCTGGTTACCTGCTCAGCTATCCAGGGAATCCAGGCATACATCGAGTGAAACAAACGATAAGTCATTCCAGTCCAGGGACATAAACAAAGTGCATTCGTGATCATGCTAAGTGCTGCTATTGAAACTTCAGGCCGTAACAGACTAGGCCCAGCAGGTGGAGGTTTTAAAGATTCTACAGTTGAAATAAGCATCACACGCAGACTAGCAGCATCTTTTCCATCGGTCTCATCGGTAACTTCAGGAGCAAAGTAAACCCCTTGTTGAGTATCAGCACCAACTTTCTGGCGCTTCCTTTTGTGTGTACTTCCATCCTTAATATGTCTTTTATGTCCAACATTAACCGGTCTATCACTAGCTACTGATGTATGGCTGCCACATTTGGACGTCTCACCTCGAACAAAATCAGGTCTAAGAGCAACAAGAACCGCTTTAAAACATTCTATCAACGAAAAACAAGGTTCCGAAAGCTGAAGCAACTCTAGAAGGCAATGTAGATTCCAAATACGAGGAGGACAAGATTTCACAATCCGCACGTATGCACTGCACAGGGAAGCCTACAAACATAATACCCAATATGATTTGCCCCATCAAGTTTTAAAAATAGCAGCAGCGAACAGAAAACTAAAAGAACTGATCAGAAATCCATTGGAGTGAAAGATGTGTATGGGAAAAACAGATCCATATATACCTTCAGCTCCTCACTCTTTGTTCTCTGTAATGCATTCGGGAAGACCAACACTAAACTTTCTGCAGTTAGTTTGACAGCGACATCAGAACAGCTGGAATATACTGTCGTAAGGCAACGCCCAATGGTAGAATCATATATCGCATTCCTGTAACACATGCCCAGAATTTGAAGTTATCATAGGAAAAGATTCACTATACCAGTGGAAAAAGGTGTAAGTTAAGATTATTTTTTCCACACAAAAGTGCGAGGAAGGTAAACGTAGAAGATGTAATTTTATTTAATTAACAATTCACAATCATGTCAGAATAAAACAAAAGAGCTGTGCTTTGACTAGTTGAGGAAAACACCTGTACACAGGAAGTCCTTCTTCATCTGCTGCACTTAAAAGGAGGATGATTGACTGTATCAAGCCCACATGAGGGAGGATGTTGAAGCTAAGGATTGATCCGACAAGAGAAGCAAACTCAAAGCATGCCTTCCATATAAAATCAGATGTCAGATTAGTGTCCCCAAAATTCATGACAGCTTCACAAAAATAATAAATGCACAAATTACTCTACCAAGTATCAACCGATCAGATAAACTGAATCACCAAGCATATGAACAAATAGCAACTCACCATCTGCACATCTGCACCACCACAGCATACCAAAGAACAGGCAGCCTTAACAAATGATGTATGGATGAGACCTTCGACGTAGAGTGTCCCCTCGGTTAGGCATTTACAGATTAGCTTAATGACACAAGTAGCAAAAGGTTGCCAACGTTTGGCTCCCATCAAGTTCAACACAAGACCATCCCCGTCTTTGGGCTTATTAGTATCTGGCAGATCACAGAGATGACAAGAATCACCCCAAACTCCAGAAAAGGACATACAGAAACACCTAAAAGGAATGTGAGATTCATAGAGTTCCGGTTCATTGGAATGGATTGATGCAAAAGGTTGCATATCTGGAACATAGAAAAGGCATGTTAGTCCACTATAAGTCGAAGTATTTTGGAACGTGGAGTCAGTTTTTCAAGCAACTATCTCCAATAAGACAGATGGTCATCGTAACATGATTTGCACTTATGGAGCAAACTGGAGAGTTTATGTTTACAGATAAAAGACGTGTGGGGCATGAGAATGGTTATCAGTTTCGAAAGGCCAAATCATTATGATTAAGAGGGAAGAAAGTTAATCCTAGACTCACCTTCAATGGCCTGCAAAGCGTCATGGAAGAACATCCGGTACGCCTTCCTGGAGTTGGAACGCAGCAACATTAAGAGAGATCCAACAGTTTCAAGTATTACTCCATGCGCAGGACTGCAATTGGTTAACAAGAGAAAGCATTAAAAGTGCTATTCCACATCATGGAAATGAATACACAGGCAGGAGGAGAATCTGTAGACAGAATGACTTACACAAACTCAGGTTCTGCAAAGAAGGGCATAAGATGACCAATCACAGGGAAAATAGCAGCAGGATCTCCGTGATAGAAAACGCCTGGAATATTCCTTGCTGTGTGGCCAACAAGCTTCAGAACAGCTGAAACTTCCCTCCCGTTGCCTGCAGAAGAAAATAGCTATGAATCAAAATGGAACCCAATCGGAGCCCAAATAAACAGTGGTGAACGCATCCTATCATTCAAGCTGTCAAGTTCATCTACCACATGACCATTCGAGGTTAACCTAACTAGTTCCCGTCAAAATCGAGAGAAATTTGTGCTCAGAGGGACAAGAGAGAGAGACAGCAATTCTTAGAGAAAGAGAGTGTGCTGTACCGAGAGAAGGGGCGACGTAGGTCTTCAGAAGATTTGGGATGACGGCCCGAAATCGAATCTCCAGAGCATCGTCGTCTCCGCAAGAGCGACCAAGGGTGTTAGCCGGAGTGGACGAGGATGCGGCGACCCGCTCACGGAGTTCGTGAACCAAGCTCGATAGATTATTGTCGTTCGCCATTTCAGTATCGCAGAAGCTACGCCTCTCCCCCTTCCACCTTCCCCCCAATTTTTAAAAGAAAATAAAAAAGAAAAAGTGTAATTGGTAGATACCTAAAAAAATAAATTAACCTTTCACTGTTTTTCAAAGTGTAATTGGTCTCACCTTTTTCATTTTTTTTTTTTTTTGCATCTCCAAATATCTGGTGTTATCCATATAAACTTTAGTATAACTTTTAAAATAAGTTTCACATATTTTTTTCAATTATTTTCTTTGTCTATCCCCCAACCGTTGTTGATTCATGATAGTCTTAATTGTCCAGAAACATCGGATATGTTGGACTTTGGAGGGTAAAAGAGAATGATTCGGGTACTGTCGTACTGAGGTGCAAGATTTCGTCTCCAAACAGCATTGTAACATTTCTACGCCATTGTCCATTGATATATGCCCAATGGATTCTTGTACATAACTAACCTATCCATGTCAAAAAGACATACGATATCAGGATTCTTTGCAAAATCAAGATCGGGTTTTTGTTATGAAAACAAAAATGTAAACGATACACAACAAGTAAGAACTAAAGAAAACCGCTAATATGAGCAAACAAAAAGAAATACTTATAAGGTAAATGGGTTGGGCCAATACATTAGTTAGACTAGAAAAATTGATTGTAATGGGCTTGGACTAGAAAAACCACAACGATATCTATCGATTGTACACGCGTGCACTCTAATTCGATTCGGACCAACTCCTGTCTCCTGCGGTGCGGTGAAGGAAATCGAGAGCGAGATCAATTGAACCCTAGCGACGAAGATGCCGAAGAAGATGGGTGTGAACAGCAAGGCGGAGGTCGCCAAATCCCGGAAAAATGCCGCCGAGGCCGAGCAGAAGGATCGCCAGACTCGGGAGAAGGAGGAGCAATACTGGCGCGAGGCCGAGGGTCCGAAATCCAAGGCGGCGAAGAAGCGGGAGGAGGAGGCGGAGAAGAAGGCGGAGTCTGCCGCCAAGAAAGCGGAGGCGCGACGGCTGGCTGAGCAGGAGGAGAAGGAGCTGGAGAAGGCTCTGAAAAAGCCGGACAAGAAGCTGAATCGCATATCCGTGCCGGTGCCGAAGGTCACAGAGGCGGAGCTCATCCGAAGGCGCGAGGAGGAGCAGGTGGCGCTGGCGAAGAAAGCGGAAGAATCTAAGAAAAAGCAGACCCGCATGGCAGGGGAAGAGGAGTACGAAAAGATGGTATCGGTGACCAATACGAATCGAGATGATTCCCTCATCGAGGCCCATAGCGTTGACGAGGCGCTCGCACGGATCACTGTGTCAGATAACCTGCCGGTTGATCGGCACCCTGAAAAGAGGCTCAAGGCTTCGTTTAAGGTTATCCTTTTGCTTTAACCTTCTTTACTATGCTCCATGTTCAGATTTCCTAATGCCTAAGCTATCACACACTTGCCATATTCCATTTCCAATAAGATTAGAAAAGTCAGCTGAGATGTAGAGGATATTTGATCATGGTAGTGTTTAGGATAAGGTAGCAGACAATCGTGTGATTATATTGGTATTCCTCGATTTTCCTGGTCGTTGAAATGATTACTGCTTGATAGATTGATCCACGAGATGAAAAATTCTGGTGGATCCACATGCTGACTTGCTATAATTGTCGTTTAGGCCTTTGAAGAAGCAGAACTTCCAAGGCTGAAGGAGGAGAAACCAGGTCTTACTCACACTCAGTACAAGGACTTGATATGGAAGATGTGGAAAAAATCGCCAGATAATCCTCTTAACCAGGTAAGTGAGAATTCACATTGCTTTTAGCCTGCTTAGTTAAGAGTAGCTTGTTCAAAATGCGTATGCAGCTGATGTTTTATACCATAAAAAGTGAGCAAGTTCATAGGAGTGTTTTACTGTTAACCTAAAATCAATGGGAAGCTGAACTATGCGCTGAACAGGCGGCTGCTGAGTGAAAGTGCAACTCTGGAGCGAAATCAAATCAAGGGAAGGTCTCGTATGCTGAAGATCTTATGTTTCCCAAGAGAAAATGTTTGTGTAAGATACTTTGGGCATAATTCTGCTTGTTTATTCCGCTTTGTGTAGAAACTCTATGAGATAGTAGAGAGACAATTGAGGGAGATACATATGCAAAGATAATACTGCCTTATGTTTGTGTATACAACAATATTACATCATCAAGGACTGGTGAGAGGTTTTTTGTTTCTGAATTATGGGCCCGTTTTAAATGACCCAACAAAACTCACGAATGAAATGGGCCTTTGGATGGTCCCAAATGATTGGTTGGCTAAGATTCCTTATCCACCAGAAAATCTAGTATTCCCGTTACTTCTCTTCTCTTCTCTCTTGCGACTTTCACAGTCACCTTCGTCTGATCTTTGCAATGGATACTTCTCTTGTAATCAACCAGTCTCTGTCTCGCATCATCAAACTATCCCCTATACCAAAATCTTGTTCTTTCTCCTTTCAATCATTTCCAATCAGACGGATCCGGAAGCAGCTTTGTCTCCGGGCCGTACAAAGAAACTACGAAACGGCCTCCTCCGTGGAAGACGATGAGTCGTACGGAGAAGTGAACAAGATCATCGGAAGCCGGATGGCGGAAAGCGGCGCCGCCATGGAGTACTTAATCGAGTGGAAGGACGGCCATTCGCCGTCGTGGGTCCCATCCAGCTACATCGCAGCAGATGTGGTGTCGGAGTACGAGACCCCCTGGTGGACCGCCGCGAGGAAAGCCGACGACCAGGCCCTGGCGCAGCTTCTGGAGTCGTCCGACGGTCGCGACGTCAATGCCGTAGACGAAAACGGCAGGACGGCGCTCCTATTCGTGGCGGGGCTGGGTTCGGACAAGTGCGTGAAGCTTCTCGCGGATGCTGGAGCCAATCTGGACCACCGGGACATCAGGGGCGGACTCACGGCGCTGCACATGGCGGCTGGCTACGTGAAGCCGGATGTGGTGGCGGCGCTGGTGGAGCTCGGCGCCGATGCGGAGGTGGAAGATGAGAGAGGGTTGACGGCACTGGAGCTGGCGAAGGAGATTCTAAAGACGACGCCGAAGGGGAATCCGATGCAATTCGGGCGGAGATTGGGGCTAGAGAAGGTGATCAGTATCTTGGAAGGACAAGTTTTCGAGTACGCGGAGGTGCAGGAGATCGTGGAGAAACGAGGGAAAGGCAAAGACGTGGAATATCTGGTCAAATGGAAGGACGGTGGAGATTGCGAGTGGGTGAAAGGTGTACACGTGGCGGAAGATGTGGCCAAGGACTACGAGGCTGGGCTGGAGTACGCTGTAGCCGAGAGAGTCATGGGGAAGAGGATGGGTGACGATGGCAACACGGAGTATCTTGTGAAATGGACTGATATGGCTGATGCCACGTGGGAGCCTCAGGAGAACGTCGACTCCAGTCTTGTTCAACTCTACGAACAAGAGGCCCAACCTATTAACGGCCCAACTACTTTATGAGCTGGGAAGGGAGACCCATGAGTTTTTTGTTTCTTGTTAAGGAATTTGCCTCTCTTTTTTTTATATATATATATATAAAAAAAGCAACATTTGTTGGATGGTTTGGTTTGATCAATGCTGTAACATGTACGAGAGAAGCTTGTAAACTTGCTACACCACGTCCTGGAGGAGACTAGAAAGCTCCACCGACGTATTAAGGTTGGGGCAAAGATTAGTAAAAAGAGATGAAAGCGTCTCGTCCCTTATTGAAATGTTTCATTGGAAACTCAAGTTTGCCGATGAAGATGTTATTCTTATCAACTTTCATTCTGGCAGTCTTTCCTAAATAAGAAACTGTATGAAGAAGCGCGCGAGCTATTTGAAGATGACCAGTCGACCTCAGTAAGTCCATTTTGTAAGCAGCATTTGCTACTGTAACAATTTGTTTTCTTCTGGCGCTAAGGTTGTTTTACATAGGCATTTTTGGAGAACAACAGCAGCTACAATTGCTGATACCCTTCTTGTAAGTCAAGAATAAAGTGGAGTTTCTAAGGTCATGTTCTTATTGATCTCACTAATCAAGCTTCGATTTTCAAAACAGGACATCCACAACAAATGGAAGAATGGTACTCAAGTTGGAGATTCCAAAACTCAAGATCCAGCTTTGCTTGATTCTTCTGAAACAACACCCCTGGTACTCGAATAATGCCAGCTGATGTTCGACTCTTATCTTGTTTCTTTTCCCTTGGGGCAGGCTAAAAATCTCAACGGTTAGTTGAGGCATTGGAAGGAAAAGTTAGATCTTTGTTAACGAATATACGCTTTTCTTACAGTTGCTAAGATACTGCTTGGTATTTGAAAAAGCCGTTGACTTGTTTTTTGTTTCTTCTGCCATCTCTGTTCCTCTTCTCCTGTGTGTCAATATACAGCCAGAATTTCTGTTATATTACAACTTTAATGGGAGTGAGTGATCCTGGTAAACTAAAGCTTGTGTTTCAGAGCGTAGACGCTTTCATGACCACCTTCAGAGACCTGGCAGAGGCATTTCTGCAGTGGATTGGTATTGAAAAATCTTGATAAAAACCTCTCCCCTACATTCATACAGCAAGGTGTCTACCACGGCATAACGTTGTTTCAATATATTACAAGTGATCTCACCAGTGACTGCTTTTTATTTGCTTTGATAACGGGTGTTTGTTGTGCAAGCAGGATTTGATATCTCAAGTTTCTACTGAATGAAACCCTGTTGCACTTCTCGCTACAGTCGTCTATATTCCATGCTATTGTTGCATTTCCGACAGGTTCACAATAAAGCTTTACAAGCCCCTGGAGATTATTGTTGCAGCTATTTCACACTTGAATGTATTGCAACGTAGGATTTACATTTACTAGTTGACAATCTAATCTTCTCTCGCGTATAAGCGAGAAATACTTGATGAATCTGCGTACAAGACCTAGTTAAAATCTTGTTACTCTGTATTATATATTGGTCTTACGTCTATTTTTCGACCTTGTAGGATAAACTTGATGAATCTGCGTACAAGACTTTGGCGGATTATCAAACAGAAACCGCCACTCTTCTTGCTCTAGTGTCGGCTTCATCGGGCGAGGTTCAAATCTTTGTCTTTCTTTTGGGTTATACAAATGTTCACTCAAAATTCGAACCAACCATCAACTCTCTATGAGAATGATCTCTTAATCTGTTGCATTAATATGTACAGGAACATGACTGCTCATCAGACAAAATCCTGACATAACGGGAGCTCCTTGAGAGCCAGATGCCAGTTCTTCGGACACTTGTCCTCGGTGATTCACAGCCACAACAGTCGTAATCCAACTAAACTCCGGCCGGAAGGTTTCTTTAGTTTTTGCTACTCATATGGGAAGTTTTTTTTTCTTGATATAGGCCTTATATTGCAAGGGCATTTACTCCCAGCAGTGGAATTTGTTTCTCGCTTTGCTTTCCACCTTAAGTCATCTCTACTCTTTTGTTTAGCCATGATCATGTTCAGGAAATCTATTTAAATTAGAGTATGCTTGCCATGCAACAGTGGTCACAGCTTCTGTAGTTAGAGATAATCTAGAGCTCAGTTTGCAATCCAAACACAAAGACCGTAATTACAAGACAGGTATGTGAACTTATTAGAGACGACATGTTTTTGTTTCGCAGGTAGCTAACAGCCACCCAAATTTTCATTTCTTACACCATTAGGACATTCAGAGCTCTAACGTTTGCTGCAATAATGACTACAAGACAGGTATTTTACTCTAATTTCAACTGCCTGATCCCTCTCACAATCTATTCTATCTAAATTCTTCTTTGTTGTCTGAAAAATTTGAAGCTTTTGAGCATCATGCTCTCCTGCATTTGGCTCTCACACCCGCTTAGGTGGGAGGATTCGTAAGCTCCCACAAACCTCTCTCTACTTCATCTTCTATATGCATAAAAATAAAGGGGCAACGAGCAGTTGTTGTAGGTCGGAGTAACATTGCTGGTTTGCCCGTTTCACTTCTATTGCTTAAGGCTGATGATGCTGATGTTACAACTGTACATTCTCACATAATGATCCTGAGGCTATCATACCGGAAGCTGAAATCGTTATTGCTGCAGCCGGACAGGCCTATGGAGAGTCGAAATTTAGATTCATGGTTTCATATTTTAGCAGGACCTATGGAGTTGGGTAAGGCTAGGGCGTTTCCATGTCAGAACTTCAGTAGCATATAAAAACTCCTCAGTATTTTGCCTCGAAAGATTTGGTAAACTCAAACAAAAGCAGATAGGAAGCAATTATCTCTGGAAGCAAATTGGCGTCCATAAGCCATTCTACCCATTCAGATTTTAAAGATATAATATTTGTACAGTTCATTGGAGTGGTGGTGATGGGCTTTTCGCTGGCTTTCATTTTGGAGATACCTTTCAAAAGACCCTCAGATCGTCAGACTATTGAAATGATGTTTAATAAGCCGGTTGTTGGGTTGGACACTTATCTACACTTTCAGAGCTAAAGTGAAATTATTTGGAAGATAGATGCGCAGAAATACGCCCTGGTGGTTCATGCGTTCTTGGTACTCACATCAACCATTCCCAAGGTACTGTCTGTATGTTTCCTTTGTCTTGTTTTGGACTTTAGAGCCAAGGAAACGTTTGCAGTACAAGAGCCGAGTATATGATATGTTTTGCTGTACTTGGGCATAGTAAACCCAGTTTTATTTCAGAGTCTGGAACCTAATCGACTAGCTCGTACCTATTATACAAGTGTGCTATAGACATAGTCTAAGCGGCGCAAGTGGCGCAGGTGCAACCTTCACCACAGGTGCAGAAGGCCTTGCCCTTGGCAGAGGTCTGGGTCTTGGAGCAGGTGCAAGGGTTGCAGCTGCAGTGCTCCCCACACGGGCACATGTTGTGTCCTTGATCCCCACCAGATGCTTCGCTCATCCTGCACCTACATGGAGTCGAACCACGTTGACAAAAAACACATCAATCTTGGAGCGTACTATAGAGACCAACCTGCAGGAATCGCCACCGGGACAGGGAGCAGGGCAGCCACAGAGATCGTTGCAGCCAGCGCCTGAGCTTCCTTTGCTTGTGTCTGCCATTTCTTTACCTCGCGTCTTTTCACATTCCTTTCCTGCAGATGATGCATATATATCTACTATATAGATATAGATGCTGCGGGGTGCACGTGGCCCTGTGTTGGATAGCATGTGCCATGTGGCAGCTTCTTCTCTAACTAGAGTCGTGACGAAGCCTCAAGAGTTCAAACGTGCTACGTAACCACAACACCATCCACGATGAATAATTCTTTTTGGGTTTAGCAATAAGTTGTGGTGGCCAAATGAAACGACTTATATAAATAAAGTAGTTGGGAAAGTAGTACCTCCAAAAGGGGGGCTCGAACAAGAACAGTGTTAAAAGTATCGATCCCCCTGTAATTGTAACTAAAGTGGCACACTTGACTCAATAAATAATAATAAATTTCGAAACTTTCATTCAAAAGATCCCAACAAAAAGAAGAGTCAAAATGGGCAGAAACGAAACAGCAAGCATATGGTCCAATCTCTTTCACCTACCTACACCACCTCTGGGCTCTGTTTTCAGTTGAAGATCTCGCTGAGGGAACTCCAAGTACCTGAGACAGCAAGAACGAGGCCTAGCAGCACCATCCCCGCGTCCAAGGCAATTTGTTTCCACCCTATTTCGTGTTTGAAGACCATGAGATGAAACAAAGCAGGCAACACGAAGCCCAAGGCGCAGCAGACGCTGCTGCCAACCAATGACAAGAAATCTGCAAAGTTTGGCACCAAGAGAGCCACCAGGGTCACTGCTAAGACGAGGAGCCATCTGAGCCACACGCAGTACATACCACTCCAGAAACGTCTCTCAACGATCTCAAACACAGGGTTCATCATCAATGGGAAGGTGAAGAAGAGGTTGATGCAGAGCCCCAGCTGCACAAGGCTACTCACCAGTCCTGCACCAAAGTTGGCCGTGATTATGTCCATTGTCTCCTCCCCAAAAGCCATGTAGCCTAGCACACCAAAAGCTCCGTATACCACGGCGATGAATAGCATGCTAAGGCCCAAGACTTTGCCAAACCTGTCTTTGTCCTTGGTCTCCGACTCGAGAGGCAAAACCATTCCCACACCTTCAAAGGCGTAAACAGCCACTCCCATCCCATAGAAGAAAACCGACATGCCACCAAAGGCGACCACGTCAGGGCTTTGCTCCACTGTAATCTTGAGGTCCTCCACAATCACCACCGCCATCGCGCCCAGATCAACCACGTCGGCGAATATGCTAAGAGGCGCCAAGTGAGTGAGCGTCTTGATGGAATTCAAGCCCAGCTGAAACGGGAAGCATCCCCAAATGTAGAGACTCTTAGGGGACGCCATTAAATGGTGGGTCATGCTCATGCTTTGGTGGTTCGCTGAGAGATTAGCTAAAGTAGTGCCGATAAAGATGAGATATCCGACACAGAAGCCAGCCTGAGACAAAATGATAAGAACGTCAACGACGAACCTCCCAAGTGGGCCACAGACGGCGAATCCAAGGTCCCCAAAAGAGCCGATATTGGCGACACCGAGCTTGCGGCGGATGTGAACGAGAAGCATCATGGAGTGGGTGATCAAAGCGGCGACGGAAAAGAGCGTGAGCACACCCATGAGCCATCCGGTTCGCTTGAAGGCGTACGGCAGACCCAGAACACCGGCCCCGACGATAGCTATGAAGACATTGGCGAAGGTCTTGAACTGGCTCGACAATGGCCTTCCCTTCCCGAGAAGGGGCGTGTCTTCTCTAGCCGGTCCTTTCTCGAAACCCATCTTTTCAGAGATGGACTCTGGGAATCAAATGTGATCGGAGATCAACAAAGAATCCGATATTTTCTTCTTTTTCCTTTTTTTTTTTGTCAAATCAAGAAGGAGAGATCTTCTAAGATAGGCAGAGAGAGAGAGTGGAGATGGACGATTCGGGCATAATTCGCTCGCTAAAATATTAGTATTAAAAAAAATGGCATTTTTCCGTTTTTTGGTTTTCCATCATTTCGATTGAATTTGGAAAAGTATATGCTCAAATAGAAATATACTTGTGTATGGAGGAGAGAAATCCTGGTCTGCTTTCATCTATCTTGTGAATATTCATCATCGAAGTTGGAGGAAGGGAGGGAAAAACTCAGGCTTTATAGGGTAATTAGCTCACAGAGGCGTAAGAAACCTAAATCGACCAGAAAGCATCATCATCGCTTAAATCGACAAACCTAAACCTAAATCGAGGGAGACGACAATAATGCAGTTGGACTACCCTATTGGGTGGCAGTCAGATCTCGCGGCATCGAAGAAGAAACTGAAGAAACTGGGCGAGGTAAGGATTTTCTCGATTGCGATTGATCGATCATATTTGTCTCCGAATGTCAAATCTGATTTGTAATTTGGGTCTCAGGAGTACGGTTTGGATGAGTGTACGCTTGAAGTGGGGGTAGGGTCATATACGCGTGGTCCTTTTCCTCGCCTAGTCTCCCTGTATGCTAGGATGGGCCTCCATCGTTACAATTTGCTGCAGGGTGCAAAGTTTCAGCTGGATCGCGTGGAGAAGTACGTTCTCTCAATGGGCTCTGCTGCTCCCACTTACGGCATCACTCTGGATGCAGTGGATGGCTCCTCGCTTCAATCTTTTCAGGTTAAAGTATCAGAAGACAGTTTTAACGTATTTGAGCTCATCTGCCATATGGCAAGAATTCGATTGTTACTACATTAATTCTTCACCTTAATAAATTGCTTGCTGATTCAATCTCTTCTTTTTCTTTTCATAGGGGATACACACCTTGACAGAGGAACGGTTATTATGGATACCGACTTGCCTGAGTGGCCGCCAAAACAGAATCCTTTTGAAAAACATTACCTGGTGAAGGATTCAGAGCTGCAAGACAACGATGACTGGATTCGTCTATATGTGGAACTTGCTGTTGCCAAATCTCCTGGGGCCAAAGCTGAGAGGGCCTGGGCACCTGAGGACTTGAAGATTCTCAAGGTGGCCATGGATGTAGTCGACGGACTCAATGCCAAAAAAAATGTACTTTTCTACATAGAGTACAAGGACTTGCGGCTTGGTAGGTACTCCCATGGCATTGCTATAGTTAGAAGATCATTTGATGAGGATGAAGGAAGCTTGTTTCTCGTGGGTAAGACTGTGAGTTTAGAAAGTATACCACAAGTTTGCTGATTCGTACGGGATGCTTCGCTCATTATTTTCTTGCATTCAGTTTAATCCTTTTCATTTCCCTCTTGGTTACGCATGGATAAACCAGTGAAGGATATATTATATTACGAGTACAAAGTTGCCCCTTGTCATGGACACATGGGAAGAGATCCTTCACATTTTTGTCTCTCCTCCATCATCTTATAAGTTGGACAAATTCAAGTCACGGTTTTAATTCCCACACCAAAGCAAATTACAAAGAGTCCCCTTTAATGCTAAAGTACCGCTACACCACCACTGCCATAATTCTCACACTCTGCTTCATTTTTTCTGTCTTTAGACCCGAATTGCTAAACTCTAGTTCCTACTGTCCCAAGTTGCTATCATAATCACAAGCCCCCACATACTCCTCAAAAGCCTTTACTTGGATCTGCTGGAATCGCTGCTGGCTGCTGCACCTGCACCTGATTCATAGATGATTCCAGTTGTGAATTGGTTATAGCAGCCTCAAACAGAGAGCAGATATGAGCAAGTAAGGATTCATCAAAGCTATATCTGTGTAAAGAATCTAATTACAATCCAATAAACACTTTTGAAAGAAATGGATATATAACTCGGTTGATCCCGTTGTATAGAACCAAGAAAACCCTAGATTCTTCCATAGTTCCATGATCGCGTTGGTGTACGGTCGGTGTAAATTGCAATGTCTGAATCCATAACAAGTAACCCACACTATTTGATAAGTGATACTACCACTCAGCCGACCAAAAAAATCAATACTACCACTCATTGTCAAGCAGGGTACGAGCAAGAGCAATGGCTAGAGACAAGTTTTTCTTTTCAACAGAGAAAAATGTATACATAGATCTTTTTATATAATAAATGTATACATTCGATTTCTCATAACATTTGGGTCCCCAAATGTGAAATAGAAAGCATGAAATTGGTTTACTGACTATGGTTATTGCTAAAAGGCCCTAAAACATTAAAGAAAAAGTGTAAGTTGTTGTTTGTGTTTTTGAAATGCTTATAGTCAAAGAGACAGGATATAAAAAAAGTCCCTTGAGTTATGGGTTTCTATAGTTTTATGTTTCCAAATACTCATGTTTCATTTATATCTTGTAGCACAATAAATTATGACCTCTTAGACCATTTCATAAGAATTTAGGGTTTAAGTTTTGTGAATTAAAGTTTAGGGTTTAGAGAGAAACTGAGCAGATCTGAAAATCCATCGTGTCAAAGATTTCGATAATGAGTTTGTTTGTCTTGTCTCTTTTCTTTATTTCTCTATGAAAAAAAAAAAAACAGATCATTATGCTAGAGACAACGAATTCTCAGATGTTTTTGAAATGTTGTCAAGTGTTGAGCATATAACTCTACTAGCTTATATCTATTAGCTGTTCGTAACATTAAATATCAAAAAACTTATTAGTGAGCTTACGGAGTTCAGTTGATATTGGAAACTCTTTTTATCTTTTTAGAAGAGTCTTTATAAGAAAATAAAACAAACTGGATTTAAGAAAAGGAAAGCTGCTGAGTTGAGAGACAGAAATCAGAGAATGTCCACGCATCGTGCGAACGTTCGGGACATCTTTGTCGAGAGGTGTCAATGATTACGGAGTCAGAGTTTACAACATGTCGATGGAGTATGCAGCTGCAGGAAGTTTAACTTCTTTCATGCAAACAAGATCATTGTCTGATACGATGATCAAAGATTTCACTCGTATGATTTTTCGAGGACTTGTCTCTGTTCATAACCACGGGTATGTCCACTGCGATCTCAAACCAGACAATCTTCTTGTTTTCCCGCGTCAAGAAGACGATGATGTTGGTGGTGGTGGAGTGAAAGAAGTTTCATATGAGTTGAAGATTTCGGATTTTGGTATGTCGACGAAAGTTGGAGAAGATTTCGGATTTTGGGAATTTGATTCTCCGTTTTTGGGAACACCTCTTTACATGTTGCCAGAGTCTATTCACTACAGCGTCGCTGAGGAACCGTTAGATTTGTGGTCATTAGGTTGTGTTGTGTTGGAGATGTATACAGGAAAGCCTCCGTGGCCGTTCGAAAATTCGAAGAAGCTTTTGCGTCACTTGTCGAATGAGGAGGCACCAGAGATTCCAGAGTCTCTTCCTTGGGATGCAAGGCAGTTTCTTCAAACGTGTTTCGCTAAAAATCCCGTGGAGAGAGGAAGCGCTTCGGGTCTGTTGAACCACCAGTTTCTTTTTAAGAAAGTTTCTGACCAGAGGAAAGTGATGGTTACCGGCACCGGAGGTAAGAGAAAGTCGGTGTTGGTACTGAATTTTGAGGATATTATGAAGAAGCCCCTAAGAGTGAGGATTATTCCACCAAAGCCACCGCAGTTTAAGAAAATTTTGAATAGACCCTTGAAGTTGAAGATTATACCTCCCAAACCCCCAGGATGCAATCTCGTTTCTGATCAGTAGATGTTGATACAGAGATGAAGTTAATTAGAAGTTGTGACTTGTGAGGGTTTCATTTGTCAAAAATATATGGTACAAAGTTGTGAAGATTGCACAGAGGCTCTGACACAAGTTAAATCTATTCGAGAAGGAACCGACGAATTGTAGAATATCATCAAGGAGCATTGTCACTGGGCATAACCATCTCATGACCTTTGTTTTTTCTTATTCGTAGTTCATCTCTTTGAATGCTGATGTCCTACTCTGTTTATATTTGTTCTAACACAGAGAATTTAAATTGATGGGTTTTTTCTTTCTGTTCTCTTTTTTACTTTCTGTCAAACAAGATAACTAGACTACCGCTCTTCATACATATCATATAAGCTATGTACCTACATATAAACATTCAAAACCGAAGCACTTCTTTAAAGTCTGAACAGTTGAAAAAAATTAGTATGTAACTAAATTGATTCCGCATTGGCTTTCATAAGTTGTTGACAAAAAATAGAAAGAAAGAAAAGGGGTCGGAGATTAAAAAGGATTTGCGACAAATTAGTCTTGAAGTGAAAAGCAGCTGTTTTATGAATAGCTAAGAATGTGTGGATGTTCTTCCCAGAAACAGCGTTCGATGATGTTGCAATGATCTACGACCACTTGTCCTTCCAGTTTCTTCCCAGAGACTACTCCATTCTCGACTGCAGCAGCTTCCTGAAAATTAAAATTCAGACATCTATTAATTAACAGGTAAACTACAAAGCTATTCAGTGGAAGAGGATGTTCCACACCATTCAAATGCTTGATGAGTTTGATAAGAACCAAGCAACAGACCTCTGTGGGTATTTTTTACATTCAGGTTACATATCATGATTTTGCGATTTTAAGAGTCAATCGCCAAGGTTTGAGTTCATGGTTCAGATTATAATAAACAGAAACACTTTGGCATTTATGAAGTTCTTTAGCCAGTCCATTTATATATCTTCTTTCTAAGTACAGATTACGGCAAATGCTAACCTTTAAGCGGAAAACCGATGAACCCATTCGAAAGATTAGAGGCAATGAATTGTACTCAATTTTCAATTCACGGAGAATCTCCATTTTTTCTCGTGTTTGGGTTCCCTGTAAAAGTCAATTCACAAAGAGCAAGATAAGAAGAACCATATTCAAGTCATCAGAAAATGAGTTTTTTTTTTCTACCATAACAAAGTACCTTTAAGCGAGCTTGGGATTCTTCTTTGGTTTTTTTAGACTTATTATTATTAACAAGATTCCAGAAACATGTATTATACTGATTATTAATATGGCCTGCCAAATAAAAACCAGAAAGAACATGAGACTACTCATATATTAAGGTTTCATTCCACAAAGATATAGATGATTCCAAATAATAGATCAGACATTATTTTACTCACAGTCAACTTGTCTCCAAGCCAGATAATCCAAAAGAATCTTGTATGTAGGATAGCATACTGCTCGTCCATCGAATGATGGAGGGTACTTCAGTTCTTTGTGAGGGAAGAAATCTCTCCATTTTATCACATATGTGGATGTAAATAAGGATGCGATTGCAGATATTATCTTACTGCGAGACAGAATCAGGAAATTAAGAACGAAGAAAATCAGGGAGATAGAGCCAAAGCTGTAAGCAAAAAACAAAATTCAGTTTAACCTGGATTGTCTTTTGTAGAGCTCAGATTCTTTCTTCAAAACAAAGCTGGAATCCATGATAGAACTTAATTAATATCTAAGATATGTAAAAGCTGATATACAACAGGTTGAGAGATGGAGACCTGTACTCATCACTCACACCATAGGCAAAGTGAATATCCTCAAACTCCTCGAGAACAGCCACTGCACATGAATTCATAAGTTTCAGAGCTTGCTCATCATTTGGCTTCTCAAATTCATGAACGTCAGAAAATCTACCAAAATCCAAGCAAGCTCCATAAGTTACATTTTCAACATAGAACGTTAGTTGATTAGTAATAAAAAAAAAATTCAACTTGCTGAAAGTGCAAATTAAGATTCAAGAAGTAGAATAAGCCCTAGACAAAGTAACCACAACATAACATCAATAAACCGAAGAGGCCAGCTAAAGAAGTACATCATTTCATGACATAGCTGATTCCTAGGGAGCACAAGGACTTGCCAAACAAAGCTTTAGGAAATTAGGACAACAAACTAAAGAATATTACCTGTGAAAATGACAGCCGTCAATCCTAACCACGACCCAAGTTAAAGGTAACAATTTGTTCTCGAACTGAAACGACCTAACAAAATCTGGTTCAATTTTGCCGATATCTTTCGTAAATTGACCAATATCATTATATAGGGAGGGGTGCTCATTCCAAAAGCTTCTTCCAGCGATATCCTCTGAATGTACAACAACAGCCTTTCTCCTCAATCTTTTTACAGGATTGCCATTCTCATCATGCTTGACAGTTTCTTCCACCTAAATGAAGTTAAATGGAAGTATCTCATATTGGAACTTTATAATGATGGACATCAAGCAAAATGAAATAAAAGGGGAAGATATATCTAACTTTTCACAAAACACAATACAAAGAAGATAACACATATTTTCAGCTAGTTACATCAACATCAACAAAGCTGAAGTAACAGTCTTCTACACATGACAATATTTTACAAAGGTTCAGACAGTTAACATGTAAAATGAAAAACCTAGACGTACATGTGCGCCAATTAAATCGTTCAACAAAATGATTTACAGAGAACCAACGTACAATCGGAGGGTCTAGATTCTAAATAACACATCACATATTAAAGCAAGTATAAAAGATCTGTATATAACATTTCTAACAGAAATATAAACTATTACCTTTGTCTTGAAAAGACATGATCCTTGACGAAACAATTCAGGAAGCGTTTTGTAATTGATACCATTCTGAAAGAGAAGCTCATTTTTCTGTTGCTTTTGTGTATCCTGCAGGTACCCAAGCAAATAGTCAAATAGTGTAATCAAACAATGAATATAATCACTAATCATGAAACTAAGGGAAGGAGGTAAAGGACCCTATAGTCATAATGCTAAACACATTCCACGACAAAGAACACTGATGTCTATCACAGAAAGCACAAACAACACACCTTAAGAAGCTCTTGTATTTCACTTATTATGGTCTTGGTCTTTCTTCTGTTGTTAACTAACATCCAAAAACAAGTTTCATACAGATTATTGGCGTGGCCTGTAACGAAGAAACGGAAGTTGTTAGGAGTTCCCCGAAGATACTTCACTCAAATAAGATTAATAATATCTGGAACAGAAATTATCATGAAGGAGTGTCAAGTACAATATTTCCAAGGTCAGAATGTCTTACAGTCCTGTTGTCTCCATGCGAGATAAACTTGAAGAACCTCCGCCGATGCACAGCTTACAATTTTTGAGCTGAAGGAAGGAGCATATTCTAATTTTCTTTGGGGGAAGAACTCTTTCCATTTTGTTACATACACTGCAGCAAAGAACGAAGCTACCAACGACAAAATCTTACTGCATATCAAACAGAAACAGGAAAGTAAAGACTATAAATCAATCAGAGAAATGAAAACCACAAGTTACTATGCAAAAGGTTTGTACATATCGATCAAGTTTAGATGAATCAATACCTGGCTCGTCTCTGGTAGAATTTTGATGTTTTCTTAAATACAAAGCTACAGAAGACGCAGAAAACAAATAAAGGCGATATATGTATGAATGAGTGAGAGTGTAAAAACAAAAGACAAAGAAAGTCAACGAAGGTAATTTGGAACCTGTATTCATCACTGTATCCATATGCAAAGATGATATCAGAAAACTCTTCCAAAACCGCAGCTGAACATGAATTCATCAGATTGAGGGCTGCTTTATCATTAGGCTTCTCAAACTTATGAACTTGAGAAAACCTATAGTGATTAAGGAGGTAAGAGGGCGTAAGAAGTAAAGAGAGCATTCTCGACAAAAAAATATCTTCATCAAAGTTTAAGTTCCATGAACAATGTGAAACAATATTGACTCAGTGAGCGATATAACTATAACAAATGCAAGTAAAGTCCATACTGAAATTCAAAAAATTGCAATCATGCTACAAAATCTATCAAAGGAGCAGCCGGTTTTTTTTTTGTTTGAAAGCGAGCAGCAAGCTGAAAAAAAGGGAAAGTGGTTTTATAAAGCAAAATAAGCTAAGGGGGCTAGCTAGGAGGTGACTGCAATGAGCAGAAATCTCACTCACCGGCCTAGCGTAGATGAAAGTTGCGGGTTAGTGCGCCTTTAGTCATTAATTCCTCAAAATATTACAGGGAGACTACAAAGTCGACAAGACCTAAAAGGAAAAGACATGACTCGATAAACAATCTCATGAACAGAAGCAAAACCAATACTAATTTATCAGACTCTCATATCCTTCCTTTACACAATCTACATACCATCACCATTCACATCCTATTAAACAGTAATAAAGTTGCTAAAATCTACCGATTATCTCCCTTCTCGAACTCCAATCATCGAATAAAAAGCAAGAGAATTTACCTAGAAAAATCACGACCATCGATCCGAACAACGATCAAATTAGGAAACATAACTTCGTCTTCCAATTCGAATGACTTGACATACTCGAACTTGCTATTCGCCATATTTCTCAAGACTCGCCGATCAACTGAGAGAGATATGGACTTTACTTGCATTTGTAAAGTCGCTTCCATTCTCCTCCAAGGCCTTCTTCTGCCTTAGGGCTTTAATAAGCCCGTGACTTCTCTGATTTTTGATGCCTTTGGGCTTTGATAAGCCCGTGACTTATCTGATTTTTGATGACTTTGGGCTTTGATAAGCCCGTGACTTATCTGATTTTTGATGCCTTTGAGACGGAGGCGTGCTCCAAAATTGATAAGTTGATAGAAAACTAGGTATTTATCCGCGTTATGCTGCATGATATTTTTCTAAATTTTGTATATATTTTTTAATATAATAAAATTATTTTTATAATATATATAAGTATTATATTTATTTTTTTATTAGCTTAAATTATGTATTTATATGTTTTAAGTCTGAATAAACATTATATATATTTTTTTTCAAAATTATAATTTACTATTAAAATTAGTTAGCTAACTGGCAAATATAATCTATTTTTTTCAATAAATTGCCACATGATCCTTTTTTGTAATTATATAAAACAAAATGCTATTTAAGAAAATATTATTAATTAATATGATTATTTTGAATTATAAAATTTATTTATTTATCAAATATTTTATTATAAACATATGTTTCTAAAACTACTAAACTATAATCAATAACATTCATATCAAAATCATTGTTATTGCTTTAGAACTAAATAAAAAATTATGTTTGAACTTTTAAAATATCGTTTTAGTTAAAGTTAAATAATTAAATTTTGATTACTGTAAACATAATTTTAGCTTGGAAATATAGCACAGAGAAATTTCATCTTCTTACAAAAATCGAGAAATCGTATTTTCTGTCAAAACAAAAAAACTTCATTTTCCCATTAAACTGAGAAATCGGCTATTCCTGCCAAAACCAAAAAATTCATTTTCTCGTCAAACCTAAAACCTAAAATTTTATTTTTCTGCGAGAACCTGTATTTTTTCACCAAAGCCGAGAAATTATGTTTTTCACAAAAAACTAAAAAATTTCATCTTCCTACAAAAACCAAAAAAAAAAAATTGTATTTTCCTGCCAAAATCGAAAAATTTATTTTTCCTGCGAAAACTGAGAAATCGTCTATTCCTGCCAAAAAAAAATCATTTTCTCGTCAAGCCCATAATCACGCTTTCCTACAAAAAAAATAAACCACAATTTCCTGCAAAAACCAAAAATTGTATTATCTTCCGTGAAATTATGTTTTCCCGCGAAAACTAAAAAATTGTTATGTTTTTATCGGTTCAATTTTTGTTGATGTGTGAGCTTCTTATAACATAAGGTTTTTTGTGTTGTAGTCATGGAAGCATAGTTGATGCTGAGTCTACACTTTTTCAATCATATATATCTATGTCAAACAAATAGATAGCTAGATTTTTTTTATTATTTATTTATTGTTATTTATTATTTGGATTTGATTTTGGTAAAAAAAAAGAAAATAATGATTTAATTTTTTATTTGTTTTTATTTATTATTTGAGTTTGGATTTTGATAAAAAATAAAATAATAATTTTTTTTATTTGCTGTTATTAAATATTTGGGCTTGGGTTTGGTAAAAAATAAAACAAAAATTAATAGAATATAAAATATTTTCCAACTTGCCTTACCACTTGCATGATGATTTCTTGCATCTTCTAGTGTTTTCCTTATCTTTTCCAGTTTTGAATTTTTTTTTTTTTAATAACTAAGAGCATGAGTAATAGAGAGTTGGGCAAAAAGTTTTTAAATTTTTTTTATTATTAAAAAAAAAAATTCGAAAAAATTGTTTAAAAAAAGAAAAAATTGACGAACCACATCTTGACACGTCAGCGCAGAATCGATCATCGAATCGCTGTGCAGTCAGACGCTGGTCTTGCCATGTCACTAAAAAAAACCTTTTTTTTTTTTTTTTTTATAACTTCCCAAAACTCTCCATTACTCATGCTCTAACTGATTTATATTAATGAATGGGCCACCAACAAAGTCGCAAGTAACTTATATGCAATATATTGGTATAGCCTAGCGATGTTAAAATGGGCCTCATGTCCGCTAGCCCAAATAGGCGTGTTTTAATTTTTTGGGCACGTTTGCATTGTTTGTTACTAGATATTTATCATTGGTTGTTACTAGGCTTACCCATTTAGATTTATTTAGTTAACGAGTACGTCCGTGAAATAAAATACTAAGCCCATTTTATTTAATTCTTCATTTAACTTTTAGTAGATTTTAAATGGGCTAAATACATCTGGGCCAATTTAAATGGGCATGGTGTAAATGAGTCAGAAAATTAAACAACTTATCAATCACAATTGGACATGATGTTAATGGGGGCATGAGCAGTAGGGTCAAATCCCAGTCAATTTAGTTCAATTTGGATCTGTTTTTTAGGATTAAATGGACCGAATTAAGAGTGTTAAATCTAGCTCCAACACAAACATATAATATTTTCTTGTGTGTGTTTTAATACACACATCTTGACAAGAAAATTGAAAACACGAAAATTTAATATTTTGTTGTGTGTGTTAATACACATATCTTGACAAAAAATAAAAAAAACTCAAAAATTTAACAATTTCTTGAGTGTGTGTTAATACACACATCTTGGCAAAAAAATTAAAGAACTCGACAATTTAACATTTTGTGTGTGTGTGTGTTAGTACACATATCTTGACAAGAAAATTAAAAAACAAACTCAAAAATTTAATATTTTCTTGTATGTGTTAATATATACTTCTTGGCAAAAAAATTAAAAAACTCGAAAATTTAGCATTTTTTGTGTGTGTAATAGTACACAAATATTCACAAGAAAATTAAAAAAAAAAATCAAAATTTTAATATTTTCTTGTGTGTGTGTTCATACACACATCTTCGCAAGAAAATTAAAAAACTTGAAAATTTAACATTTGTGTGTGTGTGTGTGTGTGTTGATACACATATCTTCACAAGAAAATTAAAAAAAAACCCAAAAATATAAGATTTTCTTGTGTGTGTTAATACACACATCACATCAAAAAAACTTAAAAAACTCGCAAATTTAACATTTTTGTTTGTGAATACACATATCTTGACAAAAAATTTAAAAACTCGGAAATTTAACATTTTCTTGTGTGTTTGTTAATACACACACTTGACAAGAAAATAAAAAAATTAGTCCTGCAAACTTAAGAAGGAAAAATTCACAGAAAAAAACTCGAAAATTTAACATTTGTTTGTGTGTGTTAATACACATATCTTGACATGAAAATAAAACAAAAAAAATCAAAAATTTAACATTTTCTTGTGTTTGTTAATACACACATCTTGGCAAAAAAATTAAAAATCTCAAATTTTACATTTTTTGTGAATGTGTTAGTAAACATGTCTTGACAAGAAAATTAAAAAAACTCAAAAATTTAACATTTTTTGTGTGTATTAATACACACATCTTGGCAAGAAAATTAAAAAACTAAAAAATTTGAGTTTTTGTGTGTGTGTGAACACATATATTCACAAAAAAATTAAAAAAAAAACTTTAACATTTTCTTTGTGTGTGTTAATACACATATCTTGGCAAGAAAATTAAAAAACTCGAAATTTAGCATTTTTTTGTGTGTGTGTTCCACAAATCTTAACAAGAAAATTAAAAAAAAAACTCAAAAATATAAGATTTTATTGTGTGTGTGTTAATACACACATCACAGCAAGAAAAATTGTAAAAACTCGTAAATTTATCATTTTTTTTGTTTGTGAATACACATATCTTGACAAAAAAAATCAAAACCTCAAAAATTTAACATTTTCTAGTGTTTTACACACATCTTGACAAGAAAATAAAAAAAATAGTCCTGCAAACTTAAAAAGGAAAAATTCACAGAAAGAAACTAGAATTTAACATTTTCTTGTGTGTGTTAATACACACATCTTGGCAAGAAAATAAAAAAACTACAAATTTAGTATTTTTTGTGTGTTTGTTAATACACATATATACACAAGAAGAATAAAAAAACTCGAAAATTTAACATTTTTTTGTGACTCTTAGTACACACATCTTCGCAAGAAAATTTACAAAATTCGTAAATTTAACATTTTTGTGTGTGTGTTAATACACACATATTGACAAGAAAATTTTAAAAACTCGAGAATTTAATATTTTCTTATGTGTCTACACATATCTTGGTAAAAAAATTTAAAAAACTTGAAAATTTAATTTTTTTGTGTGTGTTAATACACGTTTCTTGACAAGAAAAATAAAATAAAAACTCTAAAATTTAATATTTTCTTGTGTGTGTATTGGCAAAAAAATTAAAAAATTCAAAAATTTAACATTTTTTTTGTGTGTGTGTGTGTGTAATAGTACACATATCTTGTCAAGAAAATTAAAAAAAACTCAAAAATTTAACATTTTTTGTGTGTGTGATAGTACACATATATTCACAAAAAATTAAAACAAACTCAAAAATTTAAGATTTTCTTGTGTGTGTGATAATACACTCATCTTGGCAAGAAAATTAAAAAACTTAAAAATTTAACATTTGTGTGTGTGTGTGTGTGTTAGTACACATATCTTGACAAGAAAATTTTTTAATAAAAATTCAAAAATTTAACATTTTCTTGTGTGTGTGTTAATACACACACCACGTTAAGAAAAATTAAAAAACTCGCAAATTTAACATTTTTTGTTTGTGAATACACATATCTTGACCAAAAAATTAAAATCTCACACATCTTGACAAGGAAATAAAAAAATTAGTCCTGCAAACTTAAGAAGGAAAAATTTACAGAAAAAAACTCGTAAATTTAACATTTTATTGTGTGTGTAATACACTCATCTTGGCAAAAATATAAAAAAGTACAAAATTTAGTATTTTTTGTGTATGTGTTAATACACATATCCTGACAAGAAAATTATAAAAATAACTCAAAATATAACCTTTTTGTGTGTGTTAATACACATATCTTGGCAAGAAAAATAAAAAAAAAAATCGCAAATTTAAGTTTTTTGTGTGTGTTAACACACACATCTTGACAAGAAAATTTATAAACACCAAATTTAACCTTTTCTTGGGTGTTTTCATCAACACATCTTGG